TTGGTTTTCTAAAAGTAATTTGATATGATTTAATAGTTTTCTGGAAGTAAGTGCCTTTTGAGCCAATAGAAGCACTTTCTAATTCTATTTGTCTCCAATGGACTTTAAAAATGAATTGTAGATACAAGAAGGTTAAGATTCGATATTCGATGATTTATGTATAATAAAACGAATTCCAAATACCTATTTACTGTATTCGTATATTGGGAAACGATGATTGTTCGAAATGGTCCGTAAAAAGGGGAATAATTGACCGAATGCTTGTTATGCTCTCGATGAAAATAAAATGAATCACGAGGGGGGAAATCGAGGCGAATGAATGGCCTTTTTTTTTAAGGAAATTCCTCCACTCGCACCATTTTGGATCACAAAAAGAATTGAAAGGGTTTTCGATGAAAAGGAAACAAACGATCGAAAGGATTTCCTTTGTGATTTCTCTGATGGAAATTGCCGACAATTGGAGAGAAGTAAAAATGGGCAATGAATTGAATTGACTGGCTGTACGATTCGAGGAGATTCAATCAACAATAGTTGGTGTGGTTCATTTTTGAAACAGAAAACTCAAAGCTTTCCAAATGATTTCCTTCACTAAAATCATAAAAACAATAAAGGTGAAGCTTTAAAGCTTTAAAAATCTTCTTAACCTTGATAATAAGATTAATAATAAGATCAATAATAAGGTTAATAATAAGGTTAAGAAGATTTTTAAACTTTAAAGCTTCACCTTTATTGATTTTATGATTTTAGTGAAGGAAATCATTTGGAAAGCTTTGAGTTTTCTTTTTCAAAAATCAACCTCACCAACTTTTTAGACCAAAAACCCATGAAAAACTTCGATTTCATTTCTCTTTTACACCTTTACAGAAAGTTGAAATCAAAATAGCTTAAGGACATAGTATTTTTTAAAAAAAATACCGACTGGGGCTACCAGTGGTGAATTTATCGCATACACGAAATATATGAATCACAATACAACGACACACACAATACTAGGCTATATCTTAACTTAACCCACGTCATGACAGACGGCTCCCTAACCCTAAGCTCAATGGGGAACTAAATAGCTTTTTTGGTGGTGAAGGGAAGATGACGATGAAGGAGTGGCTTGTCACTTTAAAGAACTGGGGCCACAACCACCAGACTGCCCTCCAGAAAACCTCTCAACCCGAAGGGAAAGGAAATCCGAAGGGGGTGACCATGTCGCATGTGGGGTTCGAACCCTCGACCTTCCGACTAAGATAAAAGACACTTAACCAGTCAGCCACACGTGCTTCACGTGTGGCTGACTGGTTAAATTAATTTGGTTAAATTAAGCCATTTATAAGTTATAAGTTCAAGATTTGAAAAATAAAAATTGACCAAGCAAAAGGGACAAATTTTTCTTTTCTTTTTTTCATTAATTCTTACGGTAAACATTTTTGTTGGGCATTTTCTTTTCCCCCCTCAATTCGCACTTTTTCTGATTGTTTAAAGAAAACTGAAACTTTAGGAAAATGAATGAAACTTTTTGGAAAAGAACAAAAAAACAATGAATCCAAAGTAGGACTCGATTTGTCGATTGGAATGAGAAAAGAAAAAGAAGGGAAAGAAAAGAGACAAATTGTGGATTGGATTGAGAATTCGGGAGAAGAAAAAGGAAATGAATAGATCGATCTTTGTTTTTAGCTCTTAATGTGAGGTACACTTGTTCTTTATGATCGAAAAAGGAAATGAAAAGATCGATCTTTGTCTTTAGCCCTTAATGTGAGGTACTTGTTACTTGTTCTTTATGATCGAAAACAAAAAAAACAACACCCTGTTGCAATGGATTTTCATTTTTCCGCAAAAAGTGATGGGTTTTCTTTTTTTTTCTTTCTTAAATGAGCTCAAAGTTGAATTGTTTCTTGAAGAAAATGAAGAAAATGAAGAAAATCCTTTGAAAATCCTTTCAAAATCCTTTCAAAATCTGAACTTTTCTTTTGACATTCTGGAAAAGGAAGAGAAAAGACTCTCGATTATTGTGTCCGGTATTTCTTTTCGTTTTCACAAAGACGATAAATAGGTACTCTTTAGGATTTTGGTGAAGAAAAGGAGAACCGTTTAACCCTTTTTTTTTTTTTTTTTGATTCCTTTTCATGTGAGTCTAAATTGTCACGAGTAAAAGTGAAAGCGATTTCACTTCATTTCATAAAAAGATGTGAAGAATTTGAAGGAATTTGAAGGAATTTGAAGGAATTTGAAGGAAAAGAAAATCAAATCAAATCAAATCAAAAACGGAACTAAATCTGGGTATGAAAAGAAAGAAAATACTCGAAAGTCATTTAGGAAATGCAAATTTTAAAGCTTTTACTTATCTTTTACGTTTCTTTTCTCTTTTACAGTAAAGCTAAGAATTATGATATTTTTCTAGCTTCTCAATTAGCTTTCAATATTAGATATTTTATTGGTACAGTCGTCTCTCTCTATAACGGAATATTTAGTTAAAAGCAAAAAAAGTAGAAAAAACGGTTCCTTTTTGACATTTGAAGTTCAGCTGAATAGATCTTTGAGGCAAATTTTTGCACATTTTACTCTTTTAGCTTATAAACTATGTACTTATTTACTTATTCACCTAGATTTCCTTTTTGTTTCGGAGTTTAGGAAGAGACCAAAAAATGTTTCCGTTAAATAGAGCTTTCCGCTATATAGGGTACCGTTTTATATAGCTTAGCGTCGGCAGGGACCAAAATTTCATTTCGTTATATAGAGTTCTCCGATATATAGAGATCCGTTATAGAGAGAGTTGACTGTATTTTATTATTTTATTATTTCTTATGAGTTGGACACACCAGTCCTTTTATGGGTTGGAGCTGAGAATCCAAAAAATGGTCGGCGCCGGTATTCGAAATCGCTGACACCGCTAGCTCACCAGGCAACCACTCTACCAATGTTCTTTAGAAGATATTCAATGATTCTAAAGGTCCTAAAGGTTGAAATTATCTAACTAATCTAGTAAGAAAATAGGCAGTGTTTAGGGAAACTTGTAAAACAAAAGTACACCAAATAACCTGTGGATTAAAGAGTAAATCGGAAATCTATGTCACAAATCTGTGGTTGATCTCCTTTTTGAATGGGATTCGATTGAGCTGACCTATAGGGAATTATCGAGTAGACCTGAAATTTGGGGGTTTCCAGGGGGGAAAGCCTTTGCCCATTCATCCCATAAGCACCACCGGAAAGAGCGGTAATCAGTGTGGATTGAGGGATGAGGGGAGAGACTGACTATTCTATGACATTCTATGACATTCTATGTCATTCTATGTAGAGCTCTCTCTCTCTCTTTCTTTCTTTCTTTCTTGTCCCTTTCCTTCCCTCTATTCATCAATTTGCGGATATGCCGAAAAGAGTGATTCGGAAATGGATGTAAATCGGACTCGGAACGGAAAGTTTCAAGGCCTCTCTCTTTTCTTTCTTTTCTTCAATTCATTCATGAATAACACCCGATTAGGCAATAATTTGTGCTATCATCAAATGAAGAAATCTCGGAGAGGAAATTTTTAAGTAGAGCGAAAGATTGAGAAAACTTTTGAGGCAACTCATAGATGATTTGTGAGGGAACTCTGTTTACGTATGAAAGACAAGTTATAATGCGAATGTTCTAAGAATATACAAATGTTCTAAGAATATGCAAATGTTCTAAGATAAAGCTATAATGATTTGGAATAGTTTAACATACAATAAGTAGTAAAGGTTCAGTTCAAAAGGATCCTCTTTCCTCTTCTTTTCCTTTTTTGTTAGATGAGTAGAATGGGCGGACTGATTCATTCAAGCCTTTTCATAAGGCGAAATTTCGGAAATCTGAATCGTTTCCGATGTGATATTTGAGCCAAAAAAAATTAGCCATCATTACAATATGCAAATGAGTTTTGTAATTGAGAAAAGATTAAGAAAGAAAAGAAAGAAAAGAAAGAAAAGAAAGAAAAGAAAGAAAAGAAAGAAAAGAAAAGAAAAGTAAGAAAGAAAGAAAGAAAAGAAAGAAAAGAAAGAAAAGAAAAGAAAGAAAAGAAAGAAAAGAAAGAAAAGAAAGAAAAGAAAGGAAAGAAAGAAAAGAAAGAAAAGAAAGAAAAGAAAGAAAAGAAAGAAAAGAAAGAAAGAAAGAAAAGAAAGAAAGAAAAGAAAGAAAGAGAAGAAAGTCAGAAAAGATTGAAAACGCTTGAAATTTGAGATGAAAACATGAAATGAGTATTTTATAAGAAATTTACGGATATTTAGAGTGAGTGTATAGTTTTTTAACATCGATTTTTAAGTACTATATATATTTAAGTTAAAAAATATATGGTTAAAGCCTTGAAAATTAAACATATTTCGCTTGAATTAAAGAATTTGTAACATTCAGTATACTAGAAAGTGTGCGTTTTAAAGCAAAACGAAGCAAAACGATTACCGAAATCGTAACTCGTAAAGAAATCTTGATTTTTCTGTAACATCAATAAGAGTACGGTAACCCGGGCATGATTTAGAGCATAACTAAAAATGCACTTACCCTTTTTCGGATACTCTTTTATGAGTCATTTTTTTCAACCTTTTTTTTTCCTTTCAAATATTCAATTATTAAGTGTTTACTTAGTGAACACAAATCTCCAAATAGAATGAATTGTTTGAAATGTCTTTAGTGGGTGGATTGAGCAAATAACAGTGATTTTTTTTTTTTGTTTGTTATGTGAAATGTCTTGTGAAAGTTTATTCGAAAATTACCCGTGAATTAGTATTATATTGGAGATCTTGAAAAGGGGAAGAAAAATTGAGATGAAAAGGAGAAGAAAAGGAGAAAAATTGAGATGAAAAGGAGAAGAAAAGGAGAAAAATTGAGATGAAAAGGAGAAGAAAAGGAGAAAAATTGAGATGAAAAGGAGAAGAAAAGGAGAAAAATTCAGATGAAAAGCACCGAAAAATGAGGAAATTTTAAGAAAAAAAATGACAAGAATGACAAAAAGTTAAAGAAAATATTCAAGTTCCAAAATATTCAATTCAATGATTGTTTATTGAAGGGCAAACGCGAGAAAAGCATGAACGGCACCCAATGCAACTGCGTCAGCCTGGGAAATGTTCAAGTAGAAAGCGTAAATATTAAAGTAATCTGTTGATTATTAAATACATTTATCTTTCATAAAAAAAAATCTATGAAATTTCTTTATGAAAACCCACCTATTAAAAGCCTCCTTTATTCTTTCTAAGTTTTAAATCTTTTCCTATTGTTTCTAAACAAGAGTGTGTTCGTCGCGAGTAAGTAATTATCTCAAGTAAAACTTACCGTAAATACTGTAATAGTACCCCACCCCCATAATGACGGTGCGGAGTGTTGCGTAATCTAGCTTTAAACGAGTTTTTCTCGACACTGGTTTATGGTAAAATGCGCGCTTAGGTATCAAAAAATAGCCCTGAAATTCATGGCTATTTTTTGATACTAAAGAGTTTGAAAGTACGGGCGCTTTGCAAAAAATGAAATACTAAAAAACTTTTGCGACTACGCGACTGTACGAGGGGGATGGGGTACTATTGCAGTATTTACGGTATATGAGTACCGTATTTCTTCGAATAGAAGTCCGGGTAAAGAGTATGATCGCGTACTCCTGCGTAGCAGCCCTTTTTAGAATTTCTTTTCTGCATAAAAGCTTTCAATGAAATGCTATAGAGCTGGAAAATGGCTCAAAAATCTGTTAGCTCATGTCGTATTTTTGAGCCATTTTCCAGCTCTATAGCACTTGATTGAAAGCTTTTATGCAGAAAAGAAATATTAAAAAGGGCTGCTACGCAGGAGTACGCGATCATACTCTTTACCCGGTCTTCTATTCGAACAAATACGGTAATTTTTTACTCGATTAATCGACTTTTTTGTTCGAGTAACTACGAGTGAATCCCTTTACACGTCGAGTAAATTGAATATTTTTAGATGTGAAGGGAATTTCCCACAAAATCAGTTAAAAGGCTGAATATCTTTAAAAAGAGTTATATATAAGTGGTCGCTCGTGATTTTTTTTTGCTGCAATTTTTTTGCAATAATTTTGGGGTAGGCTAGTTTCCGCAACTTTTTTTGCGCAACTGGGTCGTTTACGCAACTCGCCATAACTTTCTTCTAAGTGAACAAATCTTTATGCTTTTAGTTTCATTTTGTAGATCTCAATAAGTGCAAAAAAATGAAACCAAAATCATAAAGATTGACCGACTTAGAAGAAAGTTATGGCGAGTTACGCAAACGACCCAGTTGCGCAAATGACCCTGTTGCGCAAAAAAAGTTGCGGAAACTACCGTATTTGTTCGAATAGAAGACCGGGTAAAGAGTATGATCGCGTACTCCTGCGTAGCAGCCCTTTTTAATATTTCTTTTCTGCATAAAAGCTTTCAATGAAGTGCTATAGGGCTGGAAAATGGCTCAAAAATACCACATAAGCTAACAGATTTTTGAGCCATTTTCCAGCTCTATAGCACTTCATTGAAAGCTTTTATGCAGAAAAGAAATTTTAAAAAGGGCTGCTACGCAGGAGTACGCGATCATACTCTTTACCCGGTCTTCTATTCGAACAAATACGGTAGTCTACCCCATAATTTTCGCTAAAAGTACGAAAGTCTGCGTTTTAAAAAAAAAACGCACTACTCGTGAGGAACGCACTTTAGCTTTTAAATTATCATAGTTTCACGGAAAGTTCAAAGAGTTTTTCTTTTCAATCAAACTCTTTGAAGAAATCATTTATACCTAGTTTTTTTAGAACTATTTTTATAACTAAATCTAAATGTAACCTTTTTTCCTTACTCTTTTGGGATTTCTATAATCACACATTAAAACTAACCACAAAAACTTTACTCTTTCCGATTAAAATTCGCATTTTAATTTTCAGAAAAGAAATCCTCTGGGAGAATCTCAGAATATCTGTAAAAACCCTTTTACCAATCTTACTTTAAAATTAGATTGAAAAATGAGGTAGGCTAATTTCCGCAAATCTTTTGCGCAAAAGGATCATTTACGCAACTCGCCATAACTTTTTTTCTTCTAAGTCGGCCAATCTTTATGATTTTGGTTTCATTTTGTAGATCTCAATAAGAGCAACTCCGAAGAAAGAGGTTGAAAAGCCAGTTTTTAAGCCTCACGAATCAAAGCCTGGAACACCAGGTGAGCTTTGCACCGATTTTTTTTCCACAACTCGCCATAACTTTCTTCTAAGTCGGTCAATCTTTATGATTTTGGTTTCATTTTTTTGCACTTATTGAGATCTACAAAATGAAACTAAAAGCATAAAGATTTGTTCACGAAGAAGAAAGTTATGGCGAGTTGGGTAAACGACCCAGTTGCGCAAATGACTCTGCTGCGCAAATGAACCTGTTGCGCAAAAGATTTGCGGAAATTAGCCTAGATAGATAGATTTCTCAATACTTGAACAATTGTTTTTATGGAGAAAATCTTGCTTACAGCCGCCCAACTCCATTGTTCGCTCCAAATGAGTCGATTGAAATCAAAAGAATAATGAATTTCGATCACCGCCGAGACACCGGCCAACAATGATGAGAAAACGGCGGTCGGCATCTCCTGAAAGTGAATCGATTCACTCAAATCTTTGATGAGCTTTTGCTTTTTCTTCACTAACCAAACAATTGTACGCGTTCGCACACGGAGTATTCGCATAGAAAACATTTGTCATCAACCACATCACCGATAAAAGACAAATGAGTGGACCGACGAAGATTGGGAAATACTGAAAAATGGATTGAGGTAAAAATTGATGCAAGTTTGCTATGATCGTGTTCAAATTTTAAGCCTCAAGCACTCCTTTTATGTGTTTTTCATCTTTCTTTCAATTCTTGCTTCTACCCTAATCCTTTTTTGTGTTTTTTTGAAAGTTAACATGTTTTAGAAAACGTGAGAAATTGGTGATAGATGTGTATTCTATTTTTCCATTCACTATCATTTCCATCTACTTTTCATTTTGTTCTAAGATGAAAAATAGTGGAACTGACACCAAGAATTAAAGAGTCAAAAAAATTGGAAAGAGAGAGAGAAAGAGAGAAAGAGAGAGAAAAAGGAAAGAGAAAAAAAGAGAATCTATAAAAGAAAAATAAAGGAATACCTTTGATTTTCGAGGAGAAAATCTTTCGGTTGTCTGGACGACCCTTTCCCCTTTTCCCCCCATCCCACTCATATAAATCCTTCATATTTTCATCGCATATGAGTGTAATGAGTACCTTTTTGAGATGAAAAATCCCAGCAGCTTCAACTCAGACAAATCCCCACTAATTAAGCGAAAAGCATTTACACGAATAAATTATGGGTTTTGTTTATTTACCGGATGGCTCGTTTTACCTGTGCATATTCTCGATTTTTCATCGGAAAGTTGAGCGTTTCACTGCAATCATAGTAATTCCAACGACAATAAACACCGGCCCAATAGAAAAGAAGTGAAGAAAGGACCTGAAATTGTGAAATTGAATAGATTTTTGAGAAAAATATTCTCAAAGAATATAGCTTTAGCCTACAGTATGCTGACATTAAAAATAGTTAATAGAATTGCGTCTTTTCAGCTGAATATCTTTCAGCATATTGTATAAACCCACAAGAGAAGATTGAGAATTTTAAAAAATCCTCTAGCACGTATGAGGGATTTCGATTTTTTGTTTTTCACTAGAATTTCTATTATCAATAAAGTTCTAGCGCAAAAAAAAAATAGCCTTGAATTACCATAAAAAGTTTGAGCAGTGAATAGTTTGCTTTAGTCAGCTTCGCTCAAAGATTTACTTTGAATCTAATTTGGAAATGGGTAAAGAAATCTCATAAAATCTCACGAAAAGCTTAGAGTGGTAGAAAAATGAATCTAATTTGGAAGAAAAGAAGTGGTAAAGAGAAAACAGCAAAAAGAAATTTGGAGTAAGAGAATAATGGTGTTTGTTTGTGCGTTTCTTCTCCAAAATGCATCATTTCTTTTCCAGGATCTTTGGCCAAATCAACTTTCTCTTCTTTGACGAAAGCGGTGACACATTTTGCAATACTTTTCGAGATTTAACGAGCGCTTTTTTAAAGAATTGACACAAATTATTGCCAAACAAATTTCCGGCACACAAGGGCAACAATAGAGTGAAAGACATAATGATTCAACGGCGTTCATGTGAACGACTAAATTATGATGTTTGTTGAGTAAGTCTGTGGATGTTTAGAGCTTTTCCTTTCCATGGAATGTTCACATTTGAGGTGGACTCTCAAAAGAATTATGCGAAGCTATTCACCCACTATGCCCCTGCCCATTTTCTCAACAAGCACCAAAAAATTAAAATTTCTGTTCGGAATTACAAATTAGATATCTCTAAATATGCAAATCCTACGACAGAAGCAAATTGAGTAAATTTAGGACAGCGGACCAAAAGCTTTTCAAGGTTCAAGAATTTCTGCACCTTATTTACGATTTGATGACGTGAAAAGAGCGTGTCTTCATCAAATTATTCCTCCTTAAGAGGACAGACGAATATTTCGATAAGTAGAATGTTACGTAGGAAATTTACCAAAATTGCTTGTGCCTTTCAATCGTTTCATTATAAAAAAGTCAATTGAAAGGCAATCGCAGCTGCGGGGAAAATCTATTTTATTGAGAAAACTAAATAGAGTAATTTGGTCACTCTAATCAAAAATTAACAGCTGGAACTGAAATGAGGTTTTGAAAATTGATAGATGAAAACTCACAATTGATATTATATAGAGAACCAAAGGCAGTCTTGGCCGAGGATGGGCAAGTAGAGGCTTTCCACGATACATTGTGACTGTGATGGTGAATGGAAAAGATGGAGTAGAAAGGCGGGCCCTTTTGAAGGAAAGGCGGGCAGAGTGAATGAGTGACTGAAGAGAGGAAAGCTTTTTCATCAGACGGACACAAGAAGGGACACGAGAAGGGATTAACCCTCCTTTCACTCATCGCCTCTCATCGACAAAATGGTAAACATTCATTAAAGTCTAGGTCTTTAATGGAAGGTCTTTATTTGGAAATTTATACTTTTAAAAACTCAATTTATTACCCCAAAAGTTACAACGAATTGAGAAAGCTGGAAAGAGACGATTGAGTGGTCTTTTCTTCTTCGGCAACAAGAGATGCCAATTTGGAGGCTTTTTTCTTTCTTCTTGACGAGTTTGATGAAAAACTTAAATACGTGTGGTCGGATAAAATAACAATTGACAAAATCACCTTTTATCTTTTAATGCCGGTGATGTGGCTGTTGGAGAGCTCGTTGAATTGAAAGCAGTGATCGAAATTGACTCCATATCAAGCGGTTCTCGGGTGACAGGCTTTTTGCTGTGCCTCTAAAGATCAAAACTTATTTGCTCTCCCAGAATTTACCAACTCGTTTTGGATAAGCGAGATTCTTCTCGAATTGTGCACTTTTGCATACCATCGTCTGTCCACAATATGCACAAGTTGCCTAAAAGAGAAAAGCTATATTTTTTAAAAGAAAAACCAACAAGTAATCTTGTTTTTCGTTTCGGATCATCTTGTTTTTTCGGTGTTTGAATGTGTGTTTTGTAGGCACCACTTTTGCGTAAGTTCATCCAGCAACGTTTACAACGATCTAAACTCTTTAAATAAAAAAGATTTATCAATGAAAAATAAAACAAAATAATCTTTGCCTTTAATCTCCAAATCCAAATATGCCATTTCGAGATTGGTATTCAAACTAGATGTGCTCGATGCAGCCAAAGATTGTACATCAAAGAATGCTTGTTTTGATCGAATTGAGAAATGTCCCGCGAGGCACGATGGGAGACCAGCTTCAGCCAGCATTTCGCTTGCATTTCGTAGATAGGTTGACGTTTTCAAACCGTTCTAAAGCATTTTTGTAAAATAGGCTACAAAGTATCAATTACGCAATTGCCCAATGACAAAAACTAGAGCACAAACCTTGAATAATCTTCTCCGTTCGGCTTCACTCATCTCACCTTCAGCATCAGTAATCATGACTGAAAGTTTCTCCATCAAAGCCTCAAAATATTGAAAAACTTTAAACTTTCAAAAAAACTTCGAAAAAAAATCCAATTACTAGATATCGAAAATATAGACAAAACTGTAGCGCATTTTAGTTACCTAATCGACGTGAAAAAATTTATTGCGGAAATTGGAAATAGATAAGAATAATATATAAAAGGAATGCACAAAGATCAACGCATAAATAAAGCTTTTACAACATTAGCAAAAAGTCGTAATAAGATACTTTTAAGGCGAAGCAGATCACAACGGCAGTCGGTTGATTTTTGGTCGATTCTCCAATTATGAAGCAAGGAAAGTGCGTCCGCTAAATTTAAAATTAATTGTAAATTAGAGATTTTAAAAAATTTACCTGAATGTCTTTTTCTCCATCTTCACTTCAGGACGAGCACGGTTTAACACTTTGAGAAAATCGGACGTCTTTGCCCTCATTCTCGAATGAAGATATCCCTACAGCATACAAATTTGAAAAAAGAAAACGAGAAAACGACGTCTGGGCAAACTAAAAAAAATAGGTAAATAAGGCCAACCTTGGAACATTTGATATGGTAATGAAGATAATCCCGGAACGTGTGAATCAAATCAATAGTGTTGTCACGCGTCTTCTTGTTGGTGTGTCGGGGAAACAAAACTAAAATATTAAAAACTTAAAAGCTCGAAACTTTGTTATTGTCATGAACTGACAAAAACTAAATTTTAAAGCACTTACTGAAAGTAATATATCCAACGTTGTCTCCAACTCGTGCACCCGGCTGATCTCGCAACTCCATTGGTGGCTCTCCCAGCGAATACAAAACCGAAGGAGCCGTTTGAGAAGCTTTTCTCCCTTCCCGAAACTCCTAAATTAAATAAAGTATTTTTCACAAAGCCTTTACTAACCTGCAGAAACACTTTGCCAATTATCACATCGTCTGGATCTTTGAAAAGCGTACTGAAGATCACAGTCACACGGTCCGGCTTTGCTTCAATGTACCTAAAAATAAAAGTTATGCAATTGCTTAAAGAACCCACTATTTCTAAATAATTTTTTACTCTTATTACTCACATCGTTTCATCTTCACGATAATTGATAACTGCTCGCTTTTGTCCTTCCTGTCCAGCTTCCTAAAAATGGTATTTTTAACGTCACTAATTAGTATGATTCAATTAAAACGACCTGGAATTCAAAGTATTTCTCGAATACCGACGCAAAGCAATTCCGTTTCAGCATAGAAGCCTTGCGAAGAATTTCTAAAGCAAAACAAGTTAACAAGTTAATTCCAAGTCAAGCTCACCGGAATAATCATTCGGGATCGCGTTTAAATCGAATTCCAGAGTCACATTGAATTGCGGCTCAGGGGTGACAAGAAGCGAACCATACTCACGTTGTAAGAGCTAAATAAGTTGTTTCTTGTCAATTAATAATTGCGACAAATACCGTATCTGCTCCATGTTGTTGTAATTCTTTGAAGAACTTCAAAGCAATGCTCAACTAAAATAAGATTTTAAATCTTAAAGTCAACAAACAGAACACTTACCCGAATCTTTGACTTATCTCCATTTGGATTTGAGAGCAAGTAGTAAACGCCATCAAAATCACAGAAGTTCACATTCACTTTGTCGGGTTGTCCTCTAAAATAAAGATCAAATTTTTAACGTCCCAAAAAACTCCTACCCTTCTTTAACGTTTGAAAACTTTTGTTCCAATATTTCGCTAATGATTTGGTTGTTCTGTTCGAGAAGAATCATCTCTAAAAGAAGTTTGTAATAAAAAAACCTAAGATAACCAAAATAGCTGCTTCAGCGAGGAAGAATAAACAAGTAACGAGGCTTCACTACCTCAAAGCAAAATATAATGTAGATTGATATCAACGTTTATACATCAAACCAAGAACAACAACAAAAAAAAGTTCCAACACTTAACAAAAATCCTCTAAACTCTACAAACTGATTTTCTACACAAAACAAGAACTACCAAAATAATTATTTCATTATCGAGATGTTTGACGGCGTGTAGACATTTTTCTCGAACACATCCTTGAAGCCATAGTAGTTTTGATTCAGCTTCCGTGATAATTCCCGAGATGAATACTAAAAATAGATTACAACCAAAACTTATCAAAAATATTACCTGTTTTTTCGCATCATATAAAACTAGATCGGCTTCATTGACTCGATTTTTCTCACAAACCACACAACGTCCGTCTGGGTTAATCTGAAACATTTGTTTTAACTAGCAATTGGTCGATACAATACCTGCAAAGTTGTGATATCAGCCTCTGTTGGCTCACCATTGGGAAACGTGACGGGTTTTAGTTCAATTAAATGCTTTATATTCCACAGCTCTTCATTATACGATGGAGTATTTGGGAATATTTCCATGCGGCCTGGCTAAAATAAAAAGATATATAAATCTCCATTTGGATTCTTTGTAAACCTTGTAATCGATGCCAAAAAGCTTGTGTACACGAGCGCGCGTCCATCTTGGCTCCCCATTCAACTCCCGGTATAGCCAAGCTAAATTCAAATCATTAGTTGATATATGTAAAATAATATCCAAATATCCAACAAACCTAGCCAAAGTTTGGATGGGGACGTGCTGGCGGCAGGGCTTTCTTCTTGGGTTTGGCAAAAATCTTCATACGTTGCCGAATATTTCTAAACCAATGCTAGAGCAAAAACTAAAATAACAAACTTTATAATCGTATTCTCCGACTATACCATCATGTCGACGAGGCAAATAACGAACCCATTTGTTGTCTTTTCTGAATACCCATTGAGCTAAAAATCTTCATATACATACGTCTCACGTTTGCTATAAACTTACGTCTTATAACTTTTGCCATGAGTAGTGCGGCAGTCTTATTGTTTCAGCAAGAATAATCGACTTCCAAAATTAAAACTGATAGAAACGTAATGTCTTCACCCTCAATAATCCTTAAACCAACAACTTATTAGTCACTATGCGCAACACTCCTATGTCCGTCCAGCAACGGTAGTTTCATGACTATATCAAACTCTTTCCGTCGAATGGGGATTCTACATATAGAAAGCTTTTAGCTTGTAGTAAATTATAGTCAATAACTCATCAGCCCGATAACTTGTACTTGCTGCATTTATCAATCGATGAATGTAACTTTTATTATAGCATAACACGTCAAACAAGAGTAGGATACCGGTAATTTCAAAGAGATAACAGGAAATTGTGGTACACGCAAATTTAAAAATGAAAAACATAATTAGAAAATAGCTTGTTCAATAACTTTACGTTTCTCGTCATAACTGAAGCGATTTCCTGCAAATTGGTCCGAATTGTAGAATTGACGAACGTTCTCAATTCGAAGTTGGCGGGCCTAAAATAATAACCAAGGGTGTTAAACCAAATAAATCTGACCTTCTCAAGGAACTGAGCTTCTGGAATCTTAAGTGTGCGCATTTGTCCGTCACCACCCGCACGAGCCGATTCGTAACACATTTGCTCCCGAGCCATTTGTTTGAGAAGGTAGAGAAGTAATTCGGTGGGAGATCTAAAAACAATTAACGAATGAATTATATGAATAAATTATAGATACTTGTTGGAAGTGAGGTGCTTGGAGAAGTTTCTTTGCATTTGTCGCATAACGCTAGCTTTCTGAGTGTTAATGAACGACTCCAGCATAATCCTCATTGCCATCTGAACGTCACTGTCAGTGACATAGCTCCTAAAATTTTATTATTCATCAAGACTGTATAATATTTATTTTTGCTTACCTTAAATGAATTTTTGCGTGCGCCTCTGACAAACGAATCATTGATTCAACCATTCGAACCGTAATTACAACGGATCCAGTAGCCTAGACAGTTATTTAAAAAAAGAAAATGTGAGAAACTCACGATTGATTCCTTCCTAACTTGCGCATAGAGATCAGCCAACTTTTGTCCATGTGATTCGTTCAACTTTGGATGAATGTGCTCACGGGCATAAACGATGTACTTGCGGAGAAGATCTTGTGAAATCAAGCGGAGTCCCGTTTTCCGATCGATTTGAGTCTGAACTATCTTTATTAAACCAGAGTGAAATTAAACTAATATGCCTGTTCTTGCTCATGTTCAGCTTCTTCCTCTTCGCCTTGGTTCGCTGGATGAAGACGGATGTGGTTTCCAACAACAAATTGAGCCAATCTGAAATACTTTTATCTTTTAATATAAATTAAATTATATCAAACCTTTCATCTTCAACGGGATCAACAATATCTCTAACAACGCATAGCACGTCAAATCGCGATAGAATTGGCTCGGTCAAGTCGACATTCTCGGCAAAGGTGCGCGTGGGATCATATCGGCCGCCAATTGGATTGGATGCAGCAATAACTGTGCATCTTGCCTGAACATATATATTATCAACACGCTTCAAAGAAGATGCCTACTTGCAAAGAAGTGACGATTCCTGCTTTTGATATTGAAATAGATTGTTGTTCCATCGCTTCGTGAATAGATGTTCGATCCTAGATTATTTGAATAAAACACAAACGATGGACTGGTATACTTGATCATTCATTTTGTCAAACTCGTCGATTAAGCATACTCCTTTGTCAGCAAGCACCATGGCTCCTTCAAAAAGATTTCGATCAATTTGTTCACTTTTTAAACCCACCAGCTTCTAAAGTCCATTCACGTGTCACCGGGTGGCGTTGAACATAAGCAGTCAATCCGACAGCCGAAGCTCCCTTGAAGACAAAATAAAAAACGATTAAAACTATTTTGCACCTGTCCTGTAGTTAGCACAGCTCGAGGCGCGACATGTTGTGCATATCGCAGAAATTGTGACTTTGCACAACCGGGATCTCCGCACAACAACACATTGATATCACCTGTAAGAGAACAGTAGAACAAACCAATAAAAAAATATACCTCTCAAACGATGCTTTTCACCGGGATTTTTGGCCTCGCCACGGAAAAGAGCCAAAGCAATGGCCCGTTTGACATCTTCGTGGCCATAAATTGATGGAGCAATTGAAGCAAACACTCGTTCAGCAACTCGAGGATCGCTCGCCAGCTCACGAATAGCCTAAATGCAAGTCATTACAAACAACATTTATATACCACAAACCTTCAATTCTTCATCGGTCAAAGGATTTTCCTCTACTTTGTCTCGATTATAGATGTGGTTTGCATGGATGAGCGTGGTGAAAACAGGGAAGCCTTGTTTATTGTTCAACGATCCATCATAATTGTTTGTGTAGACTCCGGTAATATCCTAGAATAAAACAGTCTCATTGAGAGAACAACAAAAGCTTTCAATCTACGCCAAGATTCAAAACTCAAAATGTTACGCACAATTTCATCTCCCGGTTTGCAGCTGTCACACAAGTCACCAAGCAAGACCACATCTTTGCTTCGTGGCAAACGGCCAGCCGCAACCTATAAACAAAGAAATAACTTTGAGCATATGTGTTCAGCTACCTTATTTGGGCTTTCTTGAATGACAATCCGTTGGAAGTTTTGATAAATAGTCTAAACACCATAGTTATTTTGCTGTATTCACTCTTTCCTACATTCTCCATATTGAGTTCGAAGGGTCCCTTGCTTTGACAGGATGGGCAAATGCTTGGTTTGACTTCTTCGTTTTGATGCTAAAATTTGTTGATAATCAAAAAAAAACCCCGGCTACCGTTACCTGGAAAAAAGGCCCAAGAAGATATCCACACGAGCCACAATCATATTTCACAATGGAAAGTTGAGGCAGAATTCCTGAATACATTTTGGAAATGATGTCAGAATCATCTCAAAACTCACCAGTAGTCTGTGTAACAATTCCCGTGGTTCGAACCAACATATTTAAGTGAATCTGTCGTAACATGCGAATATCCTCTTCAATTGGAAGATTGCGAATACGGACCTGAACTCGTATGACTGAAGCGCCAATAATTAATAAACCAACTTTGACTTCAGCACACACGTTCTTATAAAAAGGAAACATGGAGAGCACAACTTCAGTGGCCGCTTTGTTCAACCTTTCAATAACCTAAATGATAATGTATGATAAGTTGGTTTTAGAAAAGTGCTATGCTGCACAAAGAAAATTTACCTGGACGGGAGCTTCTGGCAAGAAGTAAGCAATGTTTTGTTCACCAGAATCATGGGCCAAATCTCCGTAATCCACCGTAAGAGATTCTCTAAATTAGGAGTAAAATGAATTTCAGCAAATAGACTAACTTATTGTCGGCAGCAAGTTGTTTGATAGCCTCCACATATTTGGGTTTCTTTTCCTCCGGTTCCTTGAAAGATCGAAGAAAATTTTTGAATCTAAATTTAAAAACCGCATTATTTTGTCTGCTTATCGCTATGTTTTTTCAATCTCAAATTACGTCGTTTCAATTTCGTTCAATTCATAAACTGACTCTTATGACTCGTGCTACTATTTTGAGCACTTCTTTGTAGCATGGTCAAAGGTTTACCTTCGTTCAACTTCTCTCCCAACCGCTTCATCGCTCATATGATCCTTGGCCGAACGACTACGCATATTCTCAATGATATCGATTGGGATCTCCAAGTCTTCCATTTGTTCTCCTTCATCTTCATCCCCTCGATCACGCTGCCGTCGAGTAGCTCGCTCTCCCTCTTCAATGTCTCCGAAGAGAAGTTCTCCATAATCCACAGCTCCATCTCGTCGATTCATCTCCTCTTCGGCTCTCCTGGAGAAAAAGATTGAGTAACCATAATAAAATAAATTACCTTCTTGCAGATGGATCATCTTCGTCAGCATCTGATGCATCATCGAGGCCAGATTCCGAGAAGCGATCCAGCTCAGGTTGTTCGCGATAATCCCTAAAATCAAAGTTTTAATCAGAGACTATTGAAAGAATACCTCATCATATCATCGCCGAACAGATCCTCTCCGTCCTCTTCTTCAATTTCTGGCTCATCACCGAAAATCTCTTCGCGGACCTCATCATTGTCATCATTGTCACCGTTGTTTCGAGAAGCTTGTGAACGATCTAAAAGATAATTTTAAAACACGGAGTAAAGAGACAACATACTAATTTTCTTCAAAGTTAACTTTAAAAACTTTTATTCGGGCTAATTATAAAAACTTCAAAACATACCACCAAAGATATCCTCCGAGTCAGCCTCACGACGAGAAGACATGTCGATTTTTCTAAAGTTCAACAATTAGCAACCAATTTACTAAACTTAATGTGGTTGAAAGAATAAAACATGGTCAAATCAGTTTTCCCGCACAATGAATTCAAAATTGAGTGCATGGCGGCAGAGGTCTTTCCAAAATTTAGCAAACAACACGAGTGGTCGGTGAGGGAGGGAAAGAAAATATGTGACAATGGGGAAAACATATTGATGTGGTTAAACCAATGATAAACGAAAGAACGATAAACAAAAATATTGCTAGCTTCTTGTTAGTAAAATGCGAAAGACGTGGGGGTGGCTACTTTGCGCCAAATTTTTTTGCGCAACTCACCATAACTTTCTTCTTCTAAGTTCAATCTTTATGATTTTGGTGTCATTTTGTTGGACCGTTGAGATCTACAAAATGACACCAAAATCATAAAGATTGGTCCACCTAGAAGAAAGTTCTGGCGAGTTGCGCAAAAGATCCGGTACGAAGCTCGCATCAGCCGTAGAAGAATCAGGCTAGCCTGGGAGCCACGTGGTTCTAAGGTCCGGAGCCAAAGCCTAGGAAAACTTTAAAAAATTCGATTTTTTTTTGTGATCAATGCCATCAATTACCCTAGAAAACCTACACCTGGGAAAATTGTAGCTGAATATCTTCAAAAACAATTTGCGAGGTATTTAAAGGTTCGGTCGTGCTCCTTTAAACAAAAAGTTATTCAACCATAACTATGAGTTTATGAACTTTTCAGCTTCACTATCATTTGTTTATATTTAGGTCAGCCGAGTCTTCAACAACAAGCCGAAATCGCGGGGTGCTAGCAAAAGCCCCGTGTTTTTTGTACCAAAACCTTTTGAGCCAATTTCATTTGCGCCGCGTATCATTTGCGCCAAATTTTTTTTTAAAAATACATTTATTGAAAACCAATAATGTGATACAAACAAAGGGTACATAATAAGACATAAAGGTTAAACACACAATTTTATGGCACTGCGGCCGTTCTCACCCCTATTTACCCCTATTACCCAAATGTTGTGAAAGAAAAAACCCACTTGGTGGGAAAAAGAAACATTTTTATCTTGCCAGAGTGATTGAACCCTCGACCTTCCGCTTAAGAAGAGACAAGACTCCTAACCGGTCGGCCATCTGGCCAAATTTACGCTTATCACTGTAACAAATAACTTTTTCCCAACTTCTAACCAACTTTTTCTCAGTTTCCTGCTTCACAATTTTAACGCACACTGTTTTCAATTTTCAATAGAATGATGTTTTTAGAGTTTCGTTTCAACCATTTCAATAGAATAGTGTTTTCAATAGAAAACGTTTAAATACATATACAGCCCCAAAAACAGTCAGTCGATTGGGCTTTTTGCTCTTTATATCGATTTTATGCCATTTTCAGATTCAGCGTAGGCGTCAAAGTAGCCAGCATCGTCGACGAGAAAAAGTAGTAAAAAAAAATAAAAATAAACAATTAGAGTTTATAGGAAAGTGTGGAAAAGCGCAAATTTGGTGCTTTTGCTAGTGCCTCGAAATCGCACGATGAAGCTCGAAAATTCGGGACTTGACGTCTTTGTTTGCCCAAAATGCACCCTTTCGGCCGAGATGAACACTTTAATATCAAAGGTCGTTTTGAAGTGGCAAATGTTTGGTGCACTCGAATCCTCCTATTACACTTACTGCTTAGAATACCATGAGGCTCTTCATTAGAATACCTCTTCTGAATTTCGATTTTCTCGCTCAATTGCCCCGTTCAATGCAAGGGAGTTTGTGTCGTATGGGCCATCACCATAAGATTTTTGCCATAAAATTGAAACTTTTTACTGGCATCGTGGTGTCATATTAGAGTTAATATACAAACTAAGATTTTTAGCCAAAACTTTATTGAACAGTAAGCTCATGAGTAGAATATCAGCTGCCTTTTGAGTAAATTCATGGTGGTGATTCATATGATGGTGGCAGCCATGGTGGTTCAGAAATTTCATGTATAGAAAAGCCATGAAATCGGGAAAAGTGAAAAAATATCAAAAATTTACCCGCCCAAAATATTCAGTTTGACACCACAACAACCACCAGAAGCCACTAGAAATTCTGAGAGAAATCGCCCTGAACTGACTTTTTTTGAAACACCCTGTAGATAATGGGTAGTTTGAATTATTAGAAAACTATTAGATTCAATATTTTATTTGATATGATGTGTGATGCGATAAATGTTATAGATATAGATATAGATGAGTCAAGAGACGACAACGAGTGATGCTATCAAAACAAATTTGAAAGGGAAAAAGACTTACAAGGTGTGTACAAAGGCTGAAAGTATCTATCCAAGGTTGGATAAAATCAATTTATTGCATATATTCACTTAAAAAGTTGATAGCATCAAGAACTAAAGTTTTTTTGTGAATAGTTTTGTTGATTGGGATTATGGGTACATAAGTTTGTGCTTAGAAAATCACCCGAATAAGATTTGACTGTGTGACTATAGGCAGTTGTGTGAAAAGGGAATGGGGGAAGGGGAATGGGATGGAAAAGAGAACGGGGATTCACGAGACCCAGGACCACCCACAACCTTTTATACCACCCATAAAGTTTGGTTTTGGCAATTTTGCGTGAAAATTGAGAGGATTCCCCGGAAATTCTCTATTAAAGTGGATAAAAAAAGTATAAAAACTTCAAAAAAAATTGCACGAATTCCTTTTAGGCTGTTGCCAAAGCTTACACGAATGTTCTACATTTTACACAAAAACTAGCAAGCCAACTGAAAAATCAACCACTGAAGAAAAGGATTTGATTGAAAAGTGGGAATGAGTTTAGATTTTGATAAGTACAAGGATATACAAAATCTTCTCAAATCAACTTAAATAATCTTCTCATGTTGATTTGAACACATTAGCTAACTTGAGAAAATACTGTAGATAGTGGTGATTAAAATGAAAATATCAACTCATTGCATGATCATAGTTTGCATTTATAGTTAGCTAATGTGTTCAAATCAACTTTAAAAGATTATTTGGGTTGGCTTCAGCTCAGTTGAAAAGACATTTCAGCTTGATGGTTTAATATTATGCTATTTAATATTATGATGTTTAATATTATGATGTTTAATATCCATTTATTAAAAAATCTTCTATGAATCATAATCAACAAAATTTATATAAGTTTTATAAGAAAAGAACAATGTTTATTGACAAACGACTAAAAGCTATCAGCATTTTTTGAAGCACGATCATTCAAAAGCCTAAATATTGTCGTTTTCTTTGTACAACATCAAACAACGTACCTCTTTAACAAATTGCGGTAAAACGAAGGCCGCTCGGTGAATCTCTGAGTTATAGTATCGCAATTTCATTTCCTTGAGTGCAGCCTGTTGAACATTTGTTAAGTTTAAGTTTCAAGAGCTTACCGAGTCCAGGATACGAGCTGGCACGGAAAGGTCATGATCCTGAAATTTGGATCTCGTTGATGCCTTCACACAGCAAGATCATAAGTCAATTTATGACCAGGTTAGCATAAGTCAATTTTATTACCTGTTTCCCACAGATTAGATAGCCCATCGACCCCGATGGATAAGTAGAGACAGGACTTGACGCATATTGAACTTTTGAAAAGAGGCGTCTATTGAAAGCAATGAGGTGTTGAAGTAAGGGAAGATGCAACCAAAAGCTTTCACCTACACACAACAATGTCACTCAAATGTTAGTTCAATTCATGCATGTAATCGACGAGACATTCCAAGCTATTCACCTTTAGTTTACTGCATAAAATGTAGCCTATTAAGCCGCTTGTATAAGTCGGCACTGAGCCAAGAGCATATCTACAGGATGAGAAAAGGCGTGAGCAAACTCGTTCATTTTGCCCACCAATTTCAAATCTATCCATGGACATTCACCTGCAGTTCCATGGTCTTTGTAGAGAGGAAAATGTACCTTGTGAGGATAAAATTCCGGTGTCATTCAAAGCATCTCGAAGAAGTTCATAATAAGACTCTCCAAATAGCGACTCAGCAGGTCCAACTGGGTCTGATGAATCGGTAATGATCACGTCAAACTCATTCTGAATCGATAAAATGAATGCTTTGCATTGTGACCTAGATACTTTACCTTATGATTCTTCAGAAACTCGAATCCATCTCCCACATAGAGATCAAGCTTTGGATCAGAAAACCCATGAGACATGTGCGGTAGAAATCTGAATGGCTTTCTGGTAATCTACTATATATAAAAGAGCAGTGTCTGTCTCTCTGTACGGGCATTCTCTAGCTTATGCTTTGATCAATAAAGCTAAAACTTCTTTAGAAAATCTTGGAATATATTGTAGTTGTAGCATTTAAAATAAAAAATCAACAAGTCAAAATTGACTGGCACTACGGGGGACCGAACCTGCGGGCCCGGTCGTGTAGGCGGTAGGCCAGAGCGCTCCCGACTGCGCCACGACGACATGCGTCGGTCTCAAAACATCCAACCAGATGTTTTCGGCTGAATGTTTTGAGCATATTAAACGAACTTTTTCGAGACGTCGATAACCATTTGATCGATCTCACACATTGTAACTTTTTCTACAGCTTTATGTTTGAGAACTTCTCTCAGAATTCCACCATCTCCACCACCAATGATCAACACCTGAAGTTTCAAATTTAAATGAAATTCTTTACAATTGTGCTACTTTTTTTGGGTCTTTATGTGCAAAAAGGGGCAAGTGAGCAAGCATTTCTTGATATGAAAATTCATCCCGTTCCGTGCATTGAATAATCCCATCCAAAACCAAAACATTTCCATAAGTTTCACTGGAATTTCTTTGTCAAATCAAATTGTTTTACGTACCTTTTGAAAACAAGAACATCTTGATATTGACTCTTTTCATGAAAGAGAACTTCTTGCACTTGCAATGAAAACGCTTGTCCCGGCCATGCTCCACCCATTTCCTGTCCATCCGAACGAAGTTGTTTATCTTGGCCATTACCTGAAAAGTATGTAATTCATTGTAAACTCTCGTGTACCCGTGTTTTTGATCTTTTCAAGATCATCAGGAGAAAACTCGGTGAACCATCCTTTATGTAGACTGTCCATTGCTCTAAATTACTAAAATGGTAAACTAAAAAAAGACGTCTGAGGCTGTAGAGATCGTTTTTTGAAATGTTAATATTTTAGCATCGGGGTCAGACAAGAAATTTGTGTGAGTCTCCTTGTTGGAAATTGGTTTGATTAGATAAGCACTTGTCGGACCATTTCTTTCTCACATAAAATGTAAATACCCACGATTCGATTGTGAAAATTTGGTGGAGTTAGGAAGAATTTTTCATTAAAAAGTGGCGATTTATAGAGTTGAGAGCTCTTTTTCATCGTAAGGGAAAGGCAAACCCTCTCATAGCCTCTCAAAAAATCAATATCATAGCACGCAAAGGATTGGTGCAACATAAAAAGAACCTCATTTTTTTCACTCGAAAAGTGTTTTGTTTAAAAACGATTCAGTTAACTCGCCAGGTAGATATGAGCTTTTTGAATCAAGCAAACGCACACAATATTGCGCAATACGAAGCAAAGAGCTACAGCCTCTTAAATTGCACTCTCAAACGTTAGCACTCAATCACTTAGCACTCACGTCAAATGATATTCGGCTTTCACCTTTTATAGCTTTAGCGCTTTTATTTTTATTTCTAAACGGTTCTAAATGTTAGTGGCATCTCTTTTTACACTCACTCTCTGTCTTCTTTTCCACCCTTCTCACGGCCGTCTCTTATCGATTTTCTGTCAAATATTTTATCCGCGATTGCGCCAAACTGAAATTATATACATTCAGGTTTTTTATAACGTTTTTCTTCATATTTTCTTGCCAATTTATGATTTTCCTATTTATAACTATGTTTTTAGGCAGCAGCCAATTAGAAACAATTGAAAAAACAAGCAATCATGGGTATTATACGGCGTTTGGATGAAGCAAAGCCGATTCGAATCGAGGAGCATGAAGAGTTCAATTATGCTGAGTAAGTTTTTTGATATTTTAAATTTGTTTCATCAAACTTTTGGATGTTAACTAGCGTTAAATATAAATAAGGAGTGTTGCTCGGTCACAACGATGAAAGTTTCGTGATTTGCTACAGTTATTTTGTGCCAAAATAATATGTGAAATTTCTTTTTATTAAACTTGCGAGTATAAAGCGTCTAAAATAAAAGTAGGAAAGCCCACTGTAATTGTCTAAGGGAGAAGGCTCTCAATATATCCCAATAAGTGCATTTTAGCTACGACCTCAGCGAATCTGACAATGAAGTGGCTGAACATAAGGATAAAAAGGTAACATTTCATTTATGTACTTAAAAAATATACATTTGCTTCTAGATTCGGATAATAATAAAGTAGTAGACTCTTAAATTTTTCAAGATTATATGAATTTCTTTAGGAATGCAACACTCCTGTTATGTCGCGAACGAGACGTCGTCGTGAAGAAAGAGCCGAGAAGAAATTGCACAAATTCCTCAACGCGCTCGACACAGAAACTCAAGCCAAGAAGAATATGGGAGCACGTAAACAGCGTCGAATTGAGAATGGTTGTCTTTCTAGAAAAGTTGGCAATATGTTTGCATTCAGCTCGACTATTGCTTTCTTTCGTCGACAAAGAGGACATTTGCACGGACTTTACGGATATTGTGCCGCAAACGATGTCGGTCTTTGCTCAACTTTTTGAGGAACGAGAGAACATGAAGGTATAGTTTGGTTTGCTTCTCCGTCTAGACAATATTTCAGATTTGGAACGAGTTCATTTTGCTCGAAGAAGAGGATCAGCGGCGCATCTTGGAGAATGCCGATCGGCGCAACAAAAATGAAACTCGTGAGTTTTGGTGTAGTGTAGGTGATTTGTAGAAGTGGTGATAGAAGTGCTCTATCGACTCCACGTGATAGTCGCATTCTACTAACTAAATACTTGAAAGAGGGTTTTACCTTTGTCAAATGATTAATGCAGTCTTAGTACACGGAGATGGATGGGCAATTGTTGGTGGTAGAAGTGCTTCATCGACTCCACGTGATAGTCGCAAGAAGAATACGGAGTTAGAGGAGACCGTTGAAGATCATCGCAAACGTAATACTTTTTTCATGCTCTTTTGTTATTTTATATTTAAGATCACCCAGCTTACTCAGCCAAAGCATGCTTTGATCGGATTGATAACCGCCTCAAGCAAGTTCTTCAACAGCAAAAATGTCTTCCATGGGTACATTTTATTTTTATCCTTAATTAATAAAACACAATTAAGGCGTTTGTTGATAAAATGGAGAATCAACTACGAACGCTTTACACGGTCGACTCATCTTCGGTTTGGGTGGGCATTTGCGAGAGTGGCTTGCATCGCATGTTGGTTCATGCGGTTTCTCAATATCTGATGCTCACAAGTAAAAGTAAGTGCGGTTTAATTACCTACTTATTATGGTTAATTTAAATAATTACTCACTTTAATTTAGGCATAACTGATTCGGAATCTCTTAAACGGATGACAGAAGTGCGTAACCCTCGTGCCTATTTCGTCCCGCCACATGATTTTCTGATACCTCATTTAGAACGCCTGAGGTAAACATCAATTTTCATGAAATTTTTCTTAAAAAAACTTGCTTATATGTTTTACCAAAATCCTTCCAAATTTTGTAAATTTTAGGAAGAAGAAAATTGAGTTTGTTCCTGAAGATGACGAAGAAGAAAACAACGAGCATCAAGAGTTTAACGCACCTGAAAAAAAAGTTTTGTGATGTTTAGTCTTTCTCTTCTTTACGTGTCAACTATTGTAATAGGTTTATTTAACAGGCATTTGCATCTTTCAGGTATCTTTGTTTATATTAGATATTGGGCTAATAAAGGTTGTTATTGGCTTTTCAAATTTAGTTTGTGTATGTTTACTGACAAATTTTCGATACATTCACAAAAACAAGCAAAGCGGGGCGGAGCTGAAACATTTTCTTTTGTCGTCATTTGTTGTTGTGCACTTTATTTTTCACCTTCCGCGTCATTGAGAGGTCCTGTTATGTGTGTTTTGAGCACCTATCTTTCGGGATGTTGGTAAAAAAGATTGATTTTGCATACATGTATTGTTTTGCAACACATTAATTTTTCCCCACCTAGTTGTATAGACTGCACGCACAAAAGACGCTACAGACTATAAAGTGCGGATGGATCTATCGAGTGGCGAGTGGCTAAAGGGACATGCCAAGCCCCACCCCCTCCGCCCCGAAAAGTGTACTTTGCCCTGAAGATTGGAAAAGGAGAAAGAGGGAGGTGTTTTCCTTTCCTTTTCCACTAGTCAGGCAGGCTTCTCATCAGTTCTCCTTCCTCTCCAACCTTTTACTGTTCCTTAGATTTGAGTGATCTTCACCGTTTTTCTTCCTCTTTTCTTTTCTTTTTGAAACACCATGAACATCCAACAATTGCTCTCTTTGACGTGGGTTCTTTCGTTTATCGGCTCAACCACGTGGACTCCTTCACCGCTTTCCCCTTCTATTAATTACCCAGAGGATACACTTTTTGATCTCATTGATGTTGATGTCTTAACTTTACCGTTTTTGAACTTGTCTGAATCAAATTCTTATCATTAAACGTTCCATTATTGCCCAGTCTTCCCAGACAATCGCATTTCAGTAAATATCACGTGGGAATTACAAACTGATTAAATGATACTGTGAGGCTGACATGTAAGCTGATTGTGTGAAATAAGCACTTAAATGGCTGTCGATAAGACAGCCTTGACATAAAAGGTCAGCACACGTGGTGACCAATCAGGGTGAAAATAAAAAGAAAGGAGAGAGAGAACGGGATGAGAACAGGGCAAAGTACACCCCATGGATTGTTTTTCTTCTCATTATTTTCCTTTCACATCTCGCTAAACATTTCTTATTGACCATTTTTTCAGGAATCTAACAGAATACTAACAAGGGGAAATGGCTGAAGCCCGTTCAGCTGCAGCTCTCAGCTTTCAAGTAAGTTTAACTTTAATATTGCGTAAGCATAAATGAACAATAGAAGTAAGCGTTGATGGGAAGATTTATCCTAGTTACATTTTATTTTAGGTGACTCACGATGGCGTCTCTGTGAGCTATGACCAAGAACTTCTTCGGGACATTTGGCACGCTTTTTCGAGGCAGTACAAGAGGCGTACCGGCCGATTTAAGGTATTTGTCGTAGAAGTGTTAAAAAGTATTTATAAGAAATTTTTTTTAGAATAACTTCCTCGCTGGAACCTTCCCGGCCAACGGTTTCACTTTTGCACTCGTCGTCGCGGCGATCTCCATATTTTCGGTGTTTCGGAGGGATCTCAGCTTTGGAATCGTGCCCTTCATACAAACTTACTTCATTCACTACATATTTGGGTTCGTTTACAAGTTATCGCGTTTCTCAAAATAGTTTTTAGCGATGGAATTCTTGGACAATCTCTCTCAGTGCTGTTATCAGCAGCAATTGTTTGGTTCTTGTTGATTCAAATTTTGCGACTTTCCTTGAAGGTAAATTTAAATTACCTATTTGGATAAATTAAGAGTTTTTAGGCGCTTTTATCATATAAAGGATGGATGTACGAGAGCGTTGGAAAACCTGTTTCAACACCTACAAAAGTCTGGCTGGTTAGTTTTGTAGTTTCACGTTGCATTTAAAATGAAGTTGAAACGTAAAATTCCCAAAATTTTAGATGTTTCTCCATTTCATTTCGAAGGCTTCACCGATGTTGCACTCTTTTCAAGGAGCTCTACCGCATCTTCCACTTCCATCCCTTGATGAAACAGTCAATAAAGTAAGGATTCAAATTAGTAATATCATTAATGTTTCGAATTTAGCATCTGCGATCAATGCGCCCCATTTTGAATGATGAGGAGTATGCGGATCTCGAATTTCTTTCCGAAAGGTTTGCATCGTTTTTCCTTTTGAGCAAAATTTTTCGGTTAAGGTTCCGTCGCGGTGTTGGACGACGTCTGCAAAGATATCTGATGCTCAAGAGTTGGCTCTCGTCTAATTATGTACGTTTATTTTTGAAACTTTTGTACTTGCTTGTATTTAGGTGACAGACTGGTGGGAAGAGTTTGTTTATCTTCGCCAACGTAGCCCGATCATGATCAACAGCAACTATTATGCATTGGTTTGTTCAATAGATCTTACTTTTTCTCAGCGCTGTAAGCTATATTTTAATGCTATTTCCTTTAGGATACCCTCAACGAGCACCCAACCACCAATCAAGCAGCTCGTGCAGCCAATCTAACATGGGCCTCTCTCCAATTTCGCCGTTTAGTTGACAGACAAGAAGTGACACCGGTTTTGTTTTACAATCTTTTCTAACCAAAGCGTTATTTAGTTTTCAATCTCACCAAAAAGCAAAGTTCCGTTTTGTACTATGCAATACGAGCGCCTTTTCAATGCCTGCAGGGTGCCAGGAGTCGAGGTCTGCTTTGTAAAAAGATTCCAAATTCATTTACTGTTTAGGTGGATCGATTCCTTGTTTGTGATGATGCTAAGCATGTCGCAGTTTATCACAAGGGATGCTGGTTTAAGGTGTGTGATCGATCTGATGTATGAAACCTGACAATTTAGGTGATCGTACACAACGGGAAACGATTGTTGGACGCCTGTGAATTGCAGTACCAGTTTGAGCAAATCATCAAAGGTGACTATGAACCATCAAATGCGGAAAGACACGTCGCTGCCCTTACTGCTGGGGACCGAACACATTGGGCCAAAGCCAGAAAGGTATTTTAAAAAGATTTTTGAAAAACATTTAAAAATTAAAAATTTGGCTAGCTTTGAATCAATTTTTTTTGTTTAGAGCTACCTTGGATCGGGAGTCAATAAGACGTCTTTGCATGCAATCGAACGATCGGCTTTTGTTGTCATTCTTGATGAAGAGGAACAAAGATGGGACCCGGTAAATTTTATGATTATGTTCACGAAGTATTATTTTATTCAGAATGATTCATCGCGATTGGATCAATGGGCAAGCGTTTTGCTTCACGGAAAGGCCTATGATAGGTTTTTTTGTATTCTTTTTTTATTTACTTTATAGATTTAGATGGTTTGACAAATCGTTTAACTTAATCTTCACAAAGAATGGGCACTTTGGAATCAACACGGAGCACAGTTGGGGTGATGCGGCGGTGACGGCTCATTTTGTGGAATGGATTCTCGTCAAAGATATTGTCGACGAAGGATATGATGACAAAGTAAAATTATTTATAATCGTGCAATGTAAATCATTTATTTTAGGGTAATGCCATGGGTGCACCACGTGAGAAAATCGAGCCGGAAAGACTGCGTTGGGACATTTGCGAAGAGGGAGAAGCTGCCATCAATGTTTCACTGAAAGTAAAGTTTTATTTTTTCGGAAATATTGCATTGAGACGAATTCAGGTGGCCAATGAGCTGATTTCGGACACCGAGATGTCACTCTTGGTGTGGACCGAATTTGGAAAAGGATTGATCAAGAAGTTGAAAGTTTCCCCTGATGCCTTCATTCAGATGACTTTACAATTGACCTATTTCCGGGTATATTTTTTTGTTTTTGCCATATTTAATTTGTCTCATTTAGAATCAGGGTAAATTCTCGTTGACTTATGAAGCGTCGATGACTCGTCTTTATCGTGAGGGAAGAACGGAAACTGTGCGGTATGCTTTTGCAGAATGAGATAAAGATATGTAAAATTTTGCAAATTGTTTTATTCAGGTCTTGCACAGTTGAGAGCTCTAACTTCGTGCGCGCAATGTGCGATCCAAACAAAACGGTTTGTCAAAAGTATTCTTCAGTGCTTATTGTAAATTTTAGAGGGAAGAAAGACTTCAATTATTGCATCAAGCTTGTGAACAACATCAACACCTTTATCGGGATGCAATGTGTGGAAAAGGAGTCGATAGGCATCTCTTTGCACTGTTTGTTTCCTGAACAAATTTGATATGAACGCTTTATTTTTAGTTATGTGATTAAACGCTACCTTGAAGAAGAATCACCGTTTTTCGATAAGGTCTTTTAATGTTTCAATGCTTTTTATGATTTCTTTAGATTTTCCCACCGACATATCTTCTTTCGACATCTCAAACGCCTCTCAATCAATGCGATGAAGAAATGAAAGGTCTTAGTCAAGAACAACGTCTTCGATTAATCACAGCTGGAGGTTTGAATTTTCTATATTTATGTAGATAAACATGTAAATTAAGTCAAAAAATCTTAAAATGATGTTAAGCATATATTTTATAGGTGGATTCGGTCCTGTCGCTGATGCTGGTTATGGAGTTTCGTATATCATCGCCGGAGAGGACACAATCTCATTCCACATTTCAAGCAAGAAGAGTGCTGCAAACACGGTGAGTGGCTTTCTTTCATTTTTATTAGCCGAAACGTTTTATTTCAGAGCTCAAAGGAATTCCGTGAAGAATTGCAACGTTCATTGCGTGACATGCGGGCGCTTTTCCTCTCCACAAAGAAGACCGATTAGATGATTTAATGTTTAAAAGTTAGTTCCTGCATCATTTTTCTTTTCCCCTGCTTTCGATTGCTCAATTTTTTTGTAGTCTTTAGGGCTTTGCAAGTGCAAAAATTCATGTTTTCTTTTCATTAAACGGGCTCCAAATTAATTTTTTTTCTTAGGTAGAATTAACCATCCTTGTTCATAATTACCCTATTTTATCTACCGATTATTACATAGATTCTTTGTAATTTACTCATGTTGATATTTCATATTTCACGGTGGTCTAAAAATGTGTGCATAATGTGTAAATGAGATTGGATTGTGTGTGTGCGTGTTAATTTTAGATCGAAATAAATACTATTGATTTGTATCTTTTTTAATTTAAATACACGGTAAAGCTTCAATTAAAACTGAAAGCGTAAAGTTTTATTTTCGAAGTTTGGGATGTTTTGATGAGTTGGAAGTGACGAAAAGAGAAACGTTCGTTGGAGTAAAACTGAAAACTTCTCTTCGGCTTCACAAGTGTTCTCGCTCTCAAAATTTCTTATTCTTAATTCATAAACCAATAACTGGTCATTGTTTTTCTAAAAGCTGAAATCCTGTAGAAATCCTGTACCGTTACAAAGTCACCATTTAGCTTTATATGAGAATCTAACATTTTTTTTCCACACTTTTTGATTCTCATATCGATACGTAAACATAAATCTTTGCATGTTTTTGCGTACTTTGTTCGATGGGTTCAAAAAGTGGCAAAGGAAGTGCATCGAAAGGTGAATAAAAGAAGATATTTTGTGCTCTTTTGAGATAACAACTGAACATTTCGGGGGCAAAGAACGAGGTACAAAGGACATCAAATGAAACTGGTGATGAAACTCATCACCTCTTTTTTTTTTTGAAAAGATTAATCAAAAGAAAATATAGATCATGAGAAATTTTGTATTTTGTATTTTGTATTACTTTACTCATTTTAAACTATTTGATGAAAGAAAGAATATTTGATATTTGTATTTGATAAGAACGGTAATTTGAGCCCCACCACTGCACTTTAGAATGAAATTCATTCAAACGGCGATATCGAGATTTTAAAGCAATAGTCGATCAAGTTAAGGCTTTGGTAAATTTCATTTTATAAATTGAACTTCATGAAAATTTTTCAGATTCAATTTGATATCTTTCTTGTTTCCCTCAAACAATCGGAAATTTCGTCAATCCGTAAATTTTTTTTTGATTTTTATAACTTTATTAGCTGAAATTTTTGAGGATATGGAATAATTGTGGATAAAGGATATGGAATAATTGTGGATAAAGGATATGGAATAATTGTGGATAAAGGATATGGAATAATTGTGGATAAAGGATATGCAATATTTAACACGTTGACGACAATGGCGTTTTTGCACAAACAATCGCATGGGACAACGTTGTTTTTTTCGACAAAAAATGATGTCACCTGACATCAGGTGACAATGTCCCAGGCGAACGAATATGTGTCAGACAGCATCAGGTGACAATGTCGTCAACGTGTTAAGAAGAAATTGATGATTGCATCGATGGAGATTGATGGAGAAGGAAATGAGAAAAGAGAATCACATTCACGCATACAATCAGCACAAAAGAAACAGGGAAATGAATTCTGTTAAAGTACAAATAATGAAATAATTGTCTTTTGAGTTTTTAACCTTGATACGAACCGTTTCTGGGATAATAAATTCTTTTTTTCATGCTATGGTAGCATGAAAACGGTTGAGTGCACCGGAAAGTGTGCGTTTAGATTTATCGGACTTAAAGCACGCCATTCAGATCGATTCTTGACATTCGTAAAGAATTCTTTTAGAATCGACTCAACGCTTCGATTCTCTGGGTGATTTGAGGGGAAGAGACGGAGAAAGTTCTGATAAGTTCTGATTTTGTCCAACTTCAGCGGTCCAACTTCAGCGGTCCAACTTCAGCGGTCCAACTTCAGCGCTCCTTCTGATTTTTCTTTGAGATAAGTGGCTTCTTTGAGCCATGTCGACCAAATAGTCCAGAATCGACAAGTCTTCGCTTTATAGTAGAAATGGAAGGTTACACACCATCGGGATGTGGAGTATTTTGCAGAATTGCTCTTGCTGTTAAACGAGGATTTTGCTTCTGATATCTGAGAAGTTCTGATTTTGCTTCTGATTTTTGCTTCTGATTTTGGTGAGTATCGGGGAAATATCGATGTAAATGAAGCAAGCAAGAGAAAAAAAAGAGCCAATGCTTTTCCTAGCGGTCAAAATGCTCCCTTAATCACTGAACTTCGTCACCGTGCTGATGAATGTCTTGAACGAAAAGGGAAATCATATTGCAACTCAACAAGCCATCAGTTAGGTTACGGTAAAGAAAAGCAAGAGTAAGATATCATTTCAGATCAGAAAACCCATCGAGTAACTCAGCCAATACTCAGCCAAATCAATATCCCGTTTATCAACGTCTCTATGAGCCGAAATGGCAGAGAAATGTAAGATTTTTGACTGTGGAAAGTTTACACCAAAGCCAATTTGCTTTGAAATCAATAAATTGTATTTTTTATAAGCAATAAACAAAATCACGATTAAAATCAATTGTAATTTTCTCATTTCTGAAAATAAAACTGCTTTATATTTCAGAAAAGTTGAGCGAATGCTTTTAGAAAGACGCTTACGAATCGCTTCTGAATGATCTGAATGAAAAAAAGCTATCTGTATTCGATTTGGGAACAATCTATCAACCAGAGAACCAGAGAACCAGAGAACCAGAGAATTCATCCAAAAATCGATAAGGAAAAGGAAAGATTTTTGTTTGCTTTGTGAGAATTTGAGATCAATTTCAATTCATAGAGTTCCGAAAAGCGATTTATCGATTAAAGTCATCGAAAAAGATGAGGTAAATGAAGAAAAAGGGGTAAAAGAAATGATGAATGAAGGTAGAAGAATGAATGGATGGACATTGGAAAGAAGAAGTGGAATTGAGAGAGGCGAATGGGGAGATTGAACAGATGAAGTTTCAGATTCGGAAATCTTCAATACATGATGAGAAAGTTGAGGACGGGATACATCTCTTGGTCACACACAAACGTTTGAAATAAGATTGAAAAGAAATCGCTTGCTTAAAGAGTTGTTGAATTGGTTTAAAATCGAGAATTTCTAGCTTTATGATTACGAAATATGACATGAAATTTGATACAGTTAAACGTCGAAATAACGAATCTAAAAAGTGCCTCAAATTTTCTGCCTGGGGCCCAGAAAGGGAAGGGTCTGTGGTCGACCCCGTCCGATCTGCCAAGTTGAGCAGCGTCGGCGCGGGTTAGTCGTGGGTTCGACTCCCATGGGTTCCCCTCCGAGCGCCCCAGCCCGGCCATCGGAGTATCATCGGCTACGACAACTACACTTCTGCCTCAGTAAATGTGGAAGCGGGTTGTGATCTGCGCTAAGTGCGAAGACAGATCAAATCATTATTTTTTTTATTTAATTTTCTGCTTAGCTGCTCTTGATGGCCACCGATTGCGTTTTGCTCGGGCAGCTATGCGAAAATTTTGGTCACATTTTAGAATTTCAAATTCGTTTTGTCAAATTTCGACTGTATTCCTAAGTGTCACGATTCTCTCACAAATCTAACTCGATCATTTTACGTTTACTAGATAGAATGTTTAATGTGTTTAGAGTAGAGTTCGGCAAACAAAACCAAAACCAAAACAGACCAAAACCAAAAAATTTTGGTCATTTTAGAATTTCAAATTCATTTTGTCAACTGTAATTCTGTAGTGACCATACGGTCACTAAGTGTCACGTGTCACGTGTGTCACGATTCTGTCAGTGTCAGTGTCAGTGTCAGTGTCAGTGTCACGATTCTCTCACAAATCTAACTCGATCATTTTACGTTTACTGGATCTTTTTGTTTTGTTTAATCTTTAACCTATTATAGCCTTATTTTCCGTCTTAACGTTAGACTTGGCTTTAGCCAAAATATGTGTGCAATTGGCAAGCGTTTTTCGGATTCCTTTTTTTTTGTGTCTCCTCATCTCAACGTCATATAGATAAAATGAGAAAGGAAAGAGGAATTTTGGCAGCCCCGTTAAAGCAACGGGTATTTCTCTTTGAGGAGAAGAAAAAGGCGAAGAGAAGGGGATCCACATTGATAAAGATGATGAGCGGGAAAGGGAATTCACTGGATGGCAGTCTCTTCACTTGCTTAACTCAAAGATAAATCATCAAAAAAGTTGGTCATTTCTAGATGAGTAAAAAAAAACCATTTCGATATGAATCTTTTTGAAAGCTTACTAAGTGTTTACTTGGGTTTAGCATTTAGATGAGGCTTATGCTCGTTTGTCGTCGTCGTCTTATCAAATTATTCTAGAAACATTTCGGTTCAATTTTCCCATGATTTAATGCTGAGTTGGTCTACAAAAATCCCTTCCCATTCGTCAGCTGCCAGCTCTGGACCTGGCTAGGCTTACAGACTTAAGCTCAGGACTTAGGCTTAGGACTTAGGCTTAGGACTTAGGCCTAGGACTTAAGCTTAGGACTTAGGCTTAGGCTTAGGACTTAGGCTTAGGACTTAGGCTAGAGCTCGGCTGAGCAGTTCGGTAAATTTTCATATCCAATTTGTAAGTGTTAGGTATTTAGGAGATCGATTAGTGATATTTGATGAATATAGCTGGCATGTCAAGCTGTCATTCTTCTCCAAAATCCCAATCCTGTCATCTCTTTCTTCTCATTTCAACATTCCCATTCTTCTTCCCTTCCTTCTTCCCATTCTTCTTCCCATTCTCCTTCTTTCTTTCTCTTTGTTCTTTTCGAACCCGTCTTTTAATCATAAATTCTCGTCTCTTTCCTCCGCATTTTATCATAAAGAGCAATTGTGTGAATTCTTCTGATTGACATTGTCGTTTCTTTTTGTGAATGACAGAACTTGTTGGAGAAGCTCTCAAACCTAAGCGTCTTTTTACTTTTTACAGCTAATCGTCTTACGAATGGCTAATCCGTTGAATGTTGATCCTTGAAAAGCAAACAATTCCCCACAAAAATTGTCTAGATGAAATCTCAGGCGTTTCCCCAACGATTTCTTTCCTTTTTCTCTCAAGTGTCACACAAAAAAACTTCCTCAATTGAAGGAAAAAGACGAAATCTCCGGCATGGATCGATCAAAATGTGAAACTTGAATGAATAGAATAAAGTTTTAAAGGATTGTAGAGATTGTACAGTACAATGTAGAGATTTCAAAATGGAATCCGATATCTAAACTCTTTTCAAGAGCTCTTTCAACCCTTGTGAGCTCTTTTTCAATCAAGTTCAGAGTCAAAATCAAATGCAAATCAAATGCAAATCAAGTACACTTGAATGAATACAATAAAGTTATGCATGTCTTTTAGAAAATCGATTCACTAAGGGGAAGACGCTGTCATTTTTTTAGGTGATCGACCGGTGAGTTTTAGAACAGCTAAATCTTCGGCCAACGGTGAGCAGAGCAGGTGGATGGTCAAGAATTGTCGAACAATCATTTCTGTTTGTTGAATATTTATCATTTATCACTTTCTCACCGTAGCAAATAGCATTTATAGCCAATAGGCAAATCGGTTTCAAAAAAGAAATATCAATATTCAATTTCTCTACATCAATTCTTGAATCGTTGAACAATTTCCGGGAACGAGATGGATCTCCCTCCGTGCCCGTATCTCCTTCTCGTCCGGTTATCCCTCTTTTTCTTCTTCTTCTCAGCTATTCTTCCACCGATCATTTCAGTTTTTTTTTCCATTCCTTTTCACTTCTTCTTTCCCCTTTCTATTCCCGTTTTTTTTTTCTAATAGAGTGTGGTAGGATTAGTCCAACGAACGACAAAAATCGGCCCTATTGTTTCTTTTCGATCTCGTAGATGACCGGTCACTAATTTATTGCATTCACACCAACTGGATTTCAAAATGATTGATGGGAAAAGATTTGAGATCTAAACTCACTATTGAAATTAGCTTAGCTTTAGCTATTAGCTAGCTTTAGCTATTAGCTAGCTTTAGCTATTAGCTAGCTTTAGCTATTAGCTAGCTTTAGCTATTAGCTAGCTTTAGCTATTAGCTATTAGCTAGCTTTAGCTATTAGCTATTAGATAGCTTTAGCTATTAGCTAGCTTTAGCTATTAGCTAGCTTTAGCTATTAGCTAGCTTTAGCTATTAGCTAGCTTTAGATTAGGATACTGTAGCTGTAAGTAATCGCTATTGTATTAAATTAAAGCTGTAAGTAATCGATATTGTATTTCTCTTCTTAAAGAGCTTTTTCAAAAAAAATCTTAACTATTTAGCATTCATAATTCGAGTAAAGCTTTTGAAGGAAAGAGGATGCCAAGTGAAAGGATTGAAAAAGGAGAATTCGAGGGGGGAAAAGAGGGTACTTCCACATACAGAAAGAGTAGAGAGTGGGTAAAGGAAAGAAAGGAGTGACTTGGATGAATGGGTAGAGATCTCTGTGCACTCTTCAGAACTGTAGAAGGGTTAAACCCGTTTGATCCCCTCCCCTCCACCCCTCCCCCATCTCACCTCAATCCCAGCAGGCAGTCACTTCTCCTCCTCCTCCTTCCCCCCTTTTTTTTTCTGCCTAAAACTGCCTCTCCTTTCCTCTTTCCTCTCATTTTCTTTCTATTTTAAAGTCTTCAATCGAGTGCATACGTAATTCTCACTATTTCTCTTTCTTTCTTTTTCTTTTTCTTTCTTTTTCTTTTTTTTCTTTTTTTTTCTGATCATTTCCCTTTCCTTTATCGGTGTTTCTCGTTTTTTTTTTTTTTTTTTGGATCCTGCTAGTGCTCAAATTTGTGGATAAAGAATTTTTGGCTATCGATAACTTGATTTGACGATTGTTTTATGTTACTTTTTTTGTTTTTTTTTTCTTTTCCTAATAATCTTATTGTTCTTTTTCTATACAAAAAGTCATTCTTTGATAGAAAATGATTCTACACTACTGGACAATGAAATATGATATTTGAAAAACGATCGCCACTTTCGCGCCTCTGTAACTCCCTTGTCTTTACCGTATTTCTAAATATTAATATTACCATTGTGTAGCCATTGAAAAGAGCTTTCAGAAAATGTATAACACTAATAATTTAAACGCAAAGACAAGGGAGTTACAGACGCGCGAAAGTGACGATCGTTTTTCAAATATCATATTTCATTGTCCAGTACTGTAAAAGCGCAAAACGCTTTCCGCTATCAATGACCGAAATTGCAGCTGCTCTCGATCGTGCCCGTGACTCAATCGACTGTTGGCGGTGCTCTCATTTGCATGATTGTGATCCTCATCATTTTCACTCCATCGATCATCATGATTCTCACCTCGACAGCCGCCGTTCTTTCCATAAATCTCGGGGTTTTTGGCGCTCTTCCCTATATGGGAATCGATTTGGATCCAATCTCGATGACAACCACTCTAATGGCCATCGGTTTCTCGGTCGACTTTGCTGGGGAAATGAGATTTAAATTAGAGATTTATTGAAAAGTACCTTTAAATTAGTGATTGATTTCATATTAGAGCTTTAAAGTGATATAATAAAGCGAAAGGTGACTTTACTTTACTTTACGGTACGTATCCACGCTTTAGAAAGCCCGGCGCGCCGCTTTCGCGCCATTCGCGTCAGTTCCTTAAAATCGCACGTCAATAGGAATCTAATTGAAGCGATATAGCGATATAGCGATATAATAGCTTTAAAGTTAAGTGAACGACAAAGAATTGAAAGAAATTGAAAGATTTGAAAGATTTGAAAGACTTTGAAAGATTTAGAAAAGCTCAAAGAAGAGTTGCGTTTTGATTAAACTCTAATCAACAAGAAATACTCAAGTTATTTCGATGCTATTATAAGATTTGAAGTCAACGATTGCCCATTTCCGTTTAACTTCGAAATCCATTCACAGCTCACTTTCACCTTTACAAATAATACCTTCTATAAGTTGCCATTGAAAATTCGATATTGAATCAAGATGCCAAAAGAAAAAGAAGTCTTCGCTTCTTTCTCCTTTCTACTTTCTCCTTTTTTTCTCATTCATTCATAGCTGAGAAATGACTGTATTTGACTCTCTCTCTCTCTCTCTCTCTTTCCCTCTCTTTCTTTCCTTGCCTCTCTTTGCCCCTTTCTTCTTTTCCTGGCTAAATCAAGCGCTTGAGAAAAGAAGCTCTTTTTTCTCTTTCTTGTCCTTAATTCTTGTGACACAAAAAAAAATCCACTTCATCGTCGGCTACCTTATCTCGGCTAGCTTATCTCGGCTACCTTATCTCGGCTACCTTATGCTCGTTTGATTGGTTTTCAATTTTGATTTATGCTTTAAATTCTTTGCGTACAATGTTAGTTTTATGAAATATCTAAAATCTATCTTTGTTTCTAAAGAAAAAAGAAAATGATCATCAATATTTTTTCAAAAGGTTTAACAAACTCTTCAACATCTATTTTCTTGTTTTTTTTCAAATCTAGAATTGTAAATATTGTTCCAGAGACTTTTCTTCATTACCTCTTATGATGTTTTCTTTTTTTTTTTCCCATTCTCAATCAAGTCTAGCTTATTTAATTTTATCTAGCCTCGTTTAATTGTTTTCATTTTGATTCTTGACCGCTTGAATTCTTTGCGATATTAGTTTTTACGAAATATTGGCTTCTAAAGAGGAAAGAAAATGACCGTCAACGAGCAGGAAAACTTCTTAAAAAAAGATAAAAAGACAGATAAAAGATACCATGGCAAAGATGTGCTTTACTGCTTTTTTTTTTATTCAAATATAGATCGATCAAATATAGATTGATTAAATCAAATGTGAACCCTTCTAGGCACACTTCTCTGTACAATGAAAACCGTGATGACACTTCAAACTCCTCTTTCCATTCTTTTTCTTCTTTTCCTTCTATGTTCTTCTTTAGTCTTCTTTTCTTCCTTTTCTTCCTTTTCTTCCTTTTCTTCCTTTTCTTCCTTTTCTTCCTTTTCTTCCTTTTCCTTCTTTTCTCTTTTTTTCCCTTCTCCAGAAGCCTTAAGGGCAAGATTGACTCAAAAGATTTCACACCAAAAAAAGACAAAAAAAGGCAATTCTGTTTCTCTATCTGCTGAATTTTTTGTTCTACCATCGTTCCTTTTTTTTTTATGAATCTATAAATGTAAAGATGGTTTTCTATTGAATGGGGAGTGGGACAAATGCGACCTTTTTTTGCGCACCCGGACATTTGCGTACCTTTTTTTCCGCACCTTGCCCATTAGCGCACCTTTTTTCGCGTTTTAAAAAAGCTCTAAAAAGCTAATATAGCTAATAACCAATTTCTATTCCAAAAGTTGTTTTTCTAGGTAATTTGAGGGCGTAGAATCGAAATTTTGACATATCAGAGCGTGTGGAACCAATTTGAAAGACAAAACGGCTAGATCAAATTACAGAAAATGTCGATTTTGTCGATTGTCGATTTTTCTCTTTGTATAACTCCGTCCGTTTGTTTCTACAAGCTCTGATATGTCAAAATTTCGATTCTACGCCCTAAAATTACCTAGAAAAACAACATTTGGAATAGAAATTGGTTATTAGCTATATTAGCTTTTTAGAGCTTTTTTAAAACGCGAAAAAAGGTGCGCTAATGGGCAAGGTGCGGAAAAAAAGGCGCGCAAATGTCCGGGTGCGCAAAAAAAAGGTCGCATTTGTCCCACTCCCATTGAATGTCATTTGTACAATAATCGACTTCATTTATAGTTTATCTTTTATGCAAATTAGTGAAGGAAAGAGCCTGAAAGGCCTGTTAAAGGAAGAATAATAATAATAATAATTGACACTGCTTCTTTCAAAAATTGAGAACAAATCAACGCTCGATTTGTTTCACTGAAATCCCTAACTTCTTTATCGTTTCAATTTCATTTCTTGAATGAATTAGATTCAAAAAAAAAGAAAAAAGAGTTGATGAGATAAATGAGAAACATTTTTCGAAGCTATAAATGAAATTCGACTTCTCTTGAATCATTTGTCAAATTGAAAACTTTCAGGTAATTCATTGGGTGATTGAAATCCTTGAGAATCACAAGGGGATCCCCACCTCAAAGCCTATCTCATTTTGCTGGAGATGGAGAAATATCTTGAGAAAATCACAGCCACCATCGAAAGATCAACACACGATGCATTCTATTGGATTGGAGTCAGAATTGCACATCGACCGAGGATATATTTGGCGCTTTTGTAAGTGAAAATTCGAGATTTTCACTGTAATGATTTCTATGAAAAACAAGCGTTGATGTCAATTCCAAAATTGATAAATCATCCATTTGAAATTAAATATTCGGCTAATTTCCGGTAGGCTAGTTTCCGCAATTTATTGATTGATTGATTGATTGATCAATTACAAATCTGGGGTAAGCTAAATTTTGGCAACTGGGTCATTTGCGCAACTGGGTCATTTGCGCAACAGAGTCATTTGCCCAACTCGCCATAACTTTCTTCTTCGTGAACAAATCTTTATGCTTTTAGTTTCATTTTGTAGATCTCAATAAGTTCAACAAAATGAAACCAAAATCATAAAGATTGGCCGACTTAGAAGAAAGTTATGGCGAGTTGTGGAAAAAAAAATCGGTGCAAAGCTCACCTGGTGTTCCAGGCTTTGATTCGTGAGGCTTGAAAGCTGGCTTTTCAACCTCTTTCTTCGAAGTTGCTCTTATTGAGATCTACAAAATGAAACCAAAATCATAAAGATTGGTCCACGAAGAAGAAATTTATGGCGAGTTTGGCGAGAAGAAAGTTGTGCGCAAATGATCCAGTTGCGCAAAACAATTGCGGAAATTAGCCTAGCCCAAAGATTCAAATGAAATCTTTCTTTTTATTTATTAATATTGAATCATTTCAGCACATTTTGGTCTTTTGTGATGGCCGGTGGAGTTTGGCGTTTTAAAGAAGTCAACAATGTGAGGGAGCATTTCTCGGCGACAAACTCGCCATCGAGATACGAATTTGCGGTGGCCAGAGAGTTCTTTCAGGTTTGCGATTTTTGTGTGTTTTAAGACTGACTGAATCGTTTTCTATATAAAACCTAATGTTTAATGGTTTCAATTTAATAATATTTCAATTTTCCAGGATATGGGTATGCCATTTCATGTGGTTGTCGCTCTTCAAGCCGCCGACAAGGGAAGCATTTTGAGGCCAGGGTAAAGAAAAAGCTTTTGCATACCTTAAATAAGTAATAAAATAAGTAAATTTACTTTAAAATTTTACTTATGAAAAGCTTTCCTAGCAAGCTTTCCTAGCAAGCTTTCCTAGCAAGCTTTCCTAGCAAGCTTTCCTAGTAATTTTACTTATGAAAAGCTTTCCTAGCAAGCTTTCCTAGCAATTTTACTTATGAAAAGCTTTCCTAGCAATTTAGTCATTGTAAAAAGATTGTGAGAGATTTGAGACGCCTTTTAATCTCCATTAAAGACTCCATTAACAATCCAACTTTAAGCTCGAATTTCTTGGTGTTGAAATGGTCAATTTAAATCGTTTTTGTATCAATCGAAAGAGAAAAACTTGGTGCATCCAATGATATGAAAAATATTGAAATTAGATAGGCCAACATTAAGAAGTTTTGAGATCAAAGTTAGATTGGTAATGGGAAAAGAGCGTATCAAATTTTGCGATAACGATGCGATTTTGCGAAACGATTATTTTGTGAAATTTAAGTTTTAAAAAGTTTTGAAAGCGTTTAAAGTGTTAGTTTAAAGATTTCTTTAAAAATTCCCTTTTAGATATATTGAGAAAGCGCTAGAGATCGAGGATTATCTCCAATATAAACTCAAAATCGAACACGACAATCGCACGTGGTCGTACTCGGATTTTTGTGGCACTCAATGTGATACATCGGATGCGGTTTGAATAGTAAAAGTTACGAAAACGATTTTTCTTAGGTAAACATCTTTCTAACGATGTACCGTGATCAACAAGTGCACAAAACGAACAACGTGAAGTTGACCTATCCATCGATGGACCTTTTCGGACATCATATCTATCTTGCGAACAATATTTTCCTCGTTGATGTCAATAAGAGGTTTGAAAATGAAAGAGTCATTCAAAGAAAAGAAAAGAAAAGAAAAGAAAAGAAAAGAAAAGAAAAGAAAATAAAACAAAACAAAACAAAAAGAGTTTAGATCTCAAATCGTCGAAGCGGCTCGTTTAATCGCAATCAATTTCCAATCGATTTATCCCAATGAAACAATGGAAGCAGTCATGCACAAATGGGAACACGCTGTCTTTGATTTTACACAAGTAAATTAAAAATCAATTATTAGTCTCTTCCTTCTTTCCTTTCTTCTTTCTTTCTTTCTTCCTTCCTTCTTCCTTTCTTTCGTCCTTCCTTCTTCCTTTCTTTCTTCCTTCCTTCTTCCGTTCTTTCGTCCTTTCTTCTTCCTTCCTTTCTTCTTCCTTGTCTTTCCTATTTCTTCTTGACCAAAGAAGGCATCAATAGCTCAATGATAGCTAAATGATAGCTCAATGAGCTCATCTCCCTCTCGTGAGTCGAGAGTTCAATTCCTTCTCAGTCTCTTCTCTTTTCTTTTTTCTTTTTTCATTTCTTTATCGTTTATCGTTTCGAAATTGAAATCTCGGAATTAAATAAGTGAAATTTCAATTCAATTTCAGCGAACTTTGGGTGATCCATTGATTCATGCTTATTGCACATCTGAGGGTTTAGTGAGTGAAGAAGTGCGAAGAACAGGTTCGAATCAAAGAATCGAAGAGAATTCTCAAATATAAACTCATCAAAGACTTTCTTAAATCTGAAAATAAAAGAAAAGATTTTGAATTTTCAGGAATTTTGGCGCTTCCCTTAATGCCGATCACTGTTCTCGTCGTTTTCGCGTTCACTTTGCTCACCACATGGAAAGTGCGTTGACCGAAACTGTTAACTGTCAAATTTAATGTCAAATTAATGGCCACTACCGTAATCTATCTCTATTTTTGTCTCGTAATCTTTCTTAATTTTTTAATTTCTCATTTTTCATCAGTGGATTTGAAAAGATCACGCTAAAAGGAGATCTAATATGGATAAAATTATATTACGAGATTACGAGCCAAGATTACGAGCTGTGGAGTGTTTTATAAAACAAAAATCTATCTATTGAAAGAGTAATTCGGATTTAATGTCGATTTTTAAGATGGATCCCCTTCGTTCGAAACCATGGGAAGCAATTCTCGGTGTTCTTTGCCCGATTCTCTCACTTTTCGCCTCTTTCGGCAATCTTTTCTGGGTAAACATCGAGATAATACTGTGTTTTCTCTAATAGTAGTGCACTCCACCGAGCCGAGTTGGTGACTATTTGACGGTTTCCAAGCTTTTGCAGAAGCTCAACCCTCTAATCCCCCACTAGATCTCATCGTCAGCTACATTTTCCGATCCCATATCGATAGGTTCTGATAAGCGGTTCTCGAGATTTCGAGGAATTTAGACGACGCTCACGGTGCACTACTATTAGCGAGAATACGGTATTCTGTATTTTCTCTAATTGTAGTGTCCTCTCCTCCTCCCTCCGGCCGAGCCGAGTTGGTGACTCATTTACAGTTCCCGAGCTTTTGCAGAAGCTCAACCCTCTAATCCCCCACTAGATCTCATTGTCAGCTACATTTTCCGATCCCACATCAATAGGTTCTGATAAGCGGTTCTCGAGATTTCGAGCAATTTAGACGACGCTCACGGTGCACTACTATTAGAGAAAATACGGTAAAAAGAATAAGCACGCAGAGCGTATATCTTGATCACAAAAATCCTTCAGCTCGGTTACGAATTCCTGCCGATCGTCACCGTTGTGCCGTTTTTAATTCTCGCAATCGGTGTCGATGATGTGTTCATCTTTTTGCACGCATGGCATCGCACAAGTGTCAAGTAAGAATGAAAATAGAAATCCTAAAAAACAATTACAGTAAACCGGCTGAGACTCGATCGGCGGAAATGTTGGCTGATGCCGGTCCGTCAATCACAATCGCTTCATTGACAAATCTTCTTTCGTTCGGCACGGGAATTCTCGCACCAACACCCGCTATCACAGGTATTTAACCAGCGAAATGGGAGCCACCCGGTCGCCGCCCAGTGGCCGGATGGTTAACGCCCTGGCATCGAGTGCGAGAGGTCCCGAGTTCGGATCCACCTGGTGTCGGACATTTTCCTCCTTTCACCATTTTATTAATATCTCTTTAGTCTTTTGTGTTTTCATCTCTGTTGCTGTCGTTTATGATTGGGTTTATCAGGTGGGATTCAACATATTTCAAAATATTTAGATTTCTAGAATTCAAAATATTTAGGCTTCTAGAATCCCAGTTTTTGGCATACAATATGCCGAAAAGACTATCAAAAAGAAAAAGCATCTTTTCCCCAGGTTTTCTTCTACACAGCCGTTTTGCAATTGAGCGGAGAAAGAGAAGAAAAACGAGGAAATGCCTTCATTCCATGTCTCACCGTCGCTCAACGAAAAGTATCACAAAAGGGCTTTAAGTTATTAAAATTTCGTTTTCAGAAATCCGAAATGAATAAGAAAATGGCTGAAGAAGAAGAAGAAGAGGGTTTTTGTCATAAAATGGGAAATGTCATTCTCGATGTTTGGGTGGATTTCTGTATGTCAACATGGAGTAAATTCCTCGTTGGAGCGTCGCTCATGTAAGCACTTTAATGGATAGATTAGATAGATAGGTTAGATAGATAGATTAGATATATAGGTTAGATAGATAGGTTAGATAGATAGGTTAGATAGATAGATTAGATAGATAGATTAGATAGATAGATTAGATAGATAGGTTAGATAGATAGGTTAGATAGATAGGTTAGATAGATAGATTAGATAGATAGGTTAGATCGATAGATTAGATAGATAGATTAGATAGATAGGTTAGATCGATAGATTAGATAGATAGGTTAGATCGATAGATTAGATAGATAGATTAGATAGATAGGTTAGATCGATAGGTTAGATAGATAGATTAGATAGATAGATTAGATAGATAGGTTAGATAGATAGATTAGATCGATAGATTAGATCGATAGATTTCATCTCAAGAAACGTTTTATTTTCAATCTAGAGTTTACTGGGCTTTCATGATCAATGGAGTCCTTCAAATCCGGGTCGGTTTGACTAGCGAAAAGCTGTTTATGGACGATTCTCCACTTCTCACGCTCGTCAAATTCCAATCGGAAGTCATTTTTAAGGAGGGTGGACAGGCAAGTGAATCAAATATTTGACTATTTAATTAGCTGCTTTTTTTTTAGTTAGCTGTTTTTGTAAACAATCCCGGCGATCTTCGACAACCGGAAGCGATTCCCGAGGTGAAAATTGGAAAGATTCGCAAAAGATTTGACTTTTAATTGTATTAAAGTTGGAAAGAAAGTTATGAGAAAAAGTTTGACTAGAATTTCTTAAAAATGAATCCACCAATTCAGGAAGATCTTCTTCTATTATTTAAAAGTTGACTCCAAGAAATTACTCGTAAAAAAATGAGTGCAGCTTTTCTTTAAAATTTTAGAGATCTAATTTATGAAAAAAATCAGGGAAGGGTTGATGGGTTGATTTTTGAGAATCTGGGAAATCATTGTGCAAACTTTTTCTACGAACTTCCTTTCCAACCTTCTTTCCAACTTTCTTCCCAACTTTCTTCCCAACTTCCTGTCCAACTTCTTGTCCAACTTCCTTTCCAGCTTCCTTTCCAGCTTCCTTTCCAGCTTCCTTTCCAGCTTCCTTTCCAGCTTCCTTTCCAGCTTCCTTTCCAGCTTCCTTTCCAACTTCCTGTCCAACTTCTTGTCCAACTTCCTGTCCAACTTCCTTTCCAGCTTCCTTTCCAGCTTCCTTTCCAACTTCCTGTCCAACTTCCTGTCCAACTTCCTTTCCAGCTTCCTTTCCAACTTCCTGTCCAACTTCCTTTCCAGCTTCCTTTCCAGCTTCCTTTCCAACTTCCTTTCCAACTTCCTTTCCAGCTTCCTTTCCAACTTCCTGTCCAACTTCCTTTCCAGCTTCCTTTCCAACTTCCTGTCCAACTTCCTGTCCAACTTTCTTCCCAACTTTCTTCCCAACTTTCTTCCCAACTTCCTTTCCAACTTTCAATCCCTGACCATATCCATTTCCCAGATAATGCGCCTTTTGACTCGATTCGAGAATGCGAATCATTCAGTTGGAGCGGTGAGCACGCACATGTGGCTACTTGCATACCTACCGTATATCGGATTACAGGTATGGGAATTTCCTTTTCAGCTACGATCATTTCTTTCTAATTTTGTTCAAACGTTTTGCATTCACGAATAGACAAAAATAGAGAAAAATAGACAGAAATAGAGAAAAATAAAGAGAAATAGAGAGAAAAATGATCGTAAAATGAAAATATTTTTAAAATGAATTGGTCACGAGGTTTTAAATCATTATAGTATGCCAGAAGAAATCTACTATAGCTGTGTTTGTCTTTTTTTTTTGTTTTGTTTTTCTGTGCACACTACTCCGCTTTCAGTGAATCGTTTCAAATGCCTTATAGTTAGTTTCACTTAGAATTTCATGTAGTTGTGGAAAATGTTTTTAAATTTTAAAAAAAGAACCAAAAAAATGCCGACGCGACCGGGAGTCGAACCCGAATCGTAGAGAAAAGTGCGCTCGCCCGAATCGGCTAGAGAAAAGTGCGCTCGCACTGCGCCATCTATTCGCCGAGTGGTTTACGCGCGCGCCTCTCAAACGAACGGAAGAGAGAGGTCGCCGATTGGTAGCAAGAGGAGCAAGAGAATTGGTAGCAAGAGGAGCAAGAGAATTGGTAGCAAGAGCAAGAGAATTGGTAGCAAGAGGAGCAAGAGAATTGGTAGCAAGAGGAGCAAGAGAATTGGTAGCAAGAGGAGCAAGAGAATTGGTAGCAAGAGCAAAAGAATTGGTAGCAAGAGGAGTCATCCTCTTGCTACCAATTCTTTTGCTTTTAACTCGAAAAGTGCTGCCTATAAAACTGAATCCCTCTAAACTTTGCAATTCTCAATACTAATCTCATTCTGACAAAACTGTAATCAAAATTTTTCCATTCAGAGCCACGGATCGATTGATTTCCAATATAAATATTTGCCGGATTTCTTTAAACTTCAAGAATATCGACGATGGAGTCATTTTGTGAGTCTTGGTGATCCAAAGTGAGTATAGAGAAAATTGTTGAAATTATTTGAAACAGGGATTGTTATGAAGAGAAAGCCGAATGTTTACATAAATTCGTTTTCCTTACGGGTTTCCGAGACGCAGTCACATGGGCTGATCGGTGAGTTGAAAAGATCTCAAAGATTTCAAAGATCTCAAAGTTCTCAAGATTCTGAAAGATCTCAAAATACTCAAATTTTTCTCCATCCAAATTTCCAGCCTTTCGATTCTAAGTGAATGGCGTGTGATGGCCCGCCAGTATCCACATCTGAATCTCACCATTTACGAGGATTTCAGCACATACTCGGATCAGGTACACTACTGGACAATGAAATATGATATTTGAAAAAAGATCGTCACTTTCGCGCGTCTGTAACTCCCTTGTCTTTACCGTCTTTCTAAATATTAATATTACCATTGTGTAGCCCTTGAAAAGAGCTTTCAAAAAATGTATAACACTAATAATTTAAACGCAAAGACAAGGGAGTTACAGACGCGCGAAAGTGACGATCGTTTTTCAAATATCATATTTCATTGTCCAGTACTGTAAAAGCGCAAAACGCTTTCCGCTATCAATGACCGAAATTGCAGCTGCTCTCGATCGTGCCCGTGACTCAATCGACTGTTGGCGGTGCTCTCATTTGCATGATTGTGATCCTCATCATTTTCACTCCATCGATCATCATGATTCTCACCTCGACAGCCGCCGTTCTTTCCATAAATCTCGGGGTTTTTGGCGCTCTTCCCTATATGGGAATCGATTTGGATCCAATCTCGATGACAACCACTCTAATGGCCATCGGTTTCTCGGTCGACTATGTCGCACATATCACTTTCCATTATTATAAAGGGGATTTTGAGGTGAGTTTTTCTTTTTTTTCTTTTGCAATAACAGCGATAAAAGTGTACATTTTTGTAGACAAAAAGAGCTCGAATCGAGCACGCGCTTACCTCAATCGCTTGGCCGATGATTCAAGCGGGAGCATCGACAATGTTCGCTGTACTTGTGCTGGCTAAAGTTCATGCATACATGGTGGCTGTGTTTGTCAAGGTACTGTAATTGTAGCTTGTAACTTGTACTTTGTGCTCTCAAAAGCCTTTTAACTTTACCATTCTGGTAAAGTTAAAAGAGTGTAAGTATGCTAGAAAAGGGTTTCTTTTAAAGAGTAGAAAGTATGTTTTTGACTATGGATTTGATTATATTAAGAAATTAGTTTCAAATTAGAAATTAGAAATAAGAAATTAGTTTCAAAGCTGAATCCTTTGTCTAGGTTGTCGTTTTGGTGATCATTCTTGGAATGATCCATGGTTTAATCGTTCTTCCTGTTTTATATTCAGCTCTTCCATTCAGCAAACACAAAAAGAGCAAAAGTCGAATGAATACGCCAAGAGGTTTGAAAAAGAAAAGAAAGAGAGAGAGAGAGAGGAAAGAAAGAGAGAAAGAGAGAGAAAGAAAGAGAGAAAGAGAGAGAGAAAGAAAGAGAGAAAGAAAGAAAGAGGGGGTCGGACAAAGGTGCACCTTTTTTTTGCGCACCCGACCAAAAGCGCACCTTTTTTTTCGCTGGAAAAAGCCTTAGAAAATGCCGTAGAGCCTTAAAAATGTTTCCACATAGGGGAATCATATGCGTAGATTCCGAATTTCGACAAATTAGAACTCGCTGACACGTCAAATTTGGGCTAAGAGGCAAAAACTGCGGAAAAGCGTTAAGTTGCGTAAAAAGCTAAAAAAAAAGGTGCGCTTTTGGTCGGGTGCGCAAAAAAAGGTGCACCTTTGTCCCACGCCCAGAAAGAAAGAAAGAAAGAAAGAAAGAAAGAAAGAAAGAAAGAAAGAAAGAAAGAAAGAAAGAAAGAAAGAAAGAAAGAAAGAAAGAAAGAAAGAAAATAGAATGAAGAATAATTTCAGGATCAATCGGAAACATTCATTCGATTAATATTCGTCCACAATCACAAATTCCCGATGCAGAAGCTGTGGCCGAAACGATGAAAAAGGAGAAAAGAGAAGAAAATGATCGAAAAGAAAGAAGGGAGGGTTAATTCTATAATTCTAGAAATTTTCTTGTTAATCTCAAAATCCCCCGATAATTTTCCCCCGAAAACTACGGGATAGTTTTATCAATTCAGAATTGCAGTCATTTTTGAAATTTTAAATTATTTTCATTTATTTATCTAAAATAGCTTCAAAATTGAGTAAACGGGTTTATTTTCAGTCTTTCAATCATTTTATTAAGTGTGTGAAAAAGTAATCCACGTTTTTAGCATTTATGCGGTATCCATTTGTCCAACTTTTTGATAAAATTCATGGCATTCAAGCGTTTCCTTACGGTTCACCCATCACAATTTAATGTAAGGCCGATTTCTGAAGAGGTTGAACGAGGGTTTTCGAGAAGACAGCGTCTTATTTGGTCATCAGAACAGGTCTCAGGGCGACCGCCACGTGGTTCATCTTCTAGGCTTTCACTTCTGAAGAGGTTGAACGAGGGTTTTCGAGAAGACAGTGTCTTATTTGGTCATCAGAACAGGTCTCAGGGCGACCGCCACGTGGTTCATCTTCTAGGCTTTCACCTTTGAATCGTCGGAACCAAAACCTAGCGGTATCATCAATAGCGGCGTCTTCGCCAAACGCATTCCGAATTCGACGTGCAGCCGACGTGCAAATTAGGGTCAAAGTCGGATAAGTGCCTACCCCCCCTAGACATTTGTCTAGTGGGGGGTAGGCAGATTTTATAGGGGTATCCTCTCTTTTTCGGCCATATCTTCACTTCCAGTTAACCGATCAACTTGTGGTTGTTCTTAAAATGTTCCTTATAAAATTTCGTACTAGAAATTCACAATGTCCTTAGTACTTAGCAGCCTCCGCAGCTTTCAACCCATTTTTGAACTCATAAAGCAAATTTTGACCGAATAACGATACTTGTGTATACCATTTTCAAACTAAAATGAAAGTAGTTTATTGTCGTCCTTTTAACAAAATAAATATATCATTCGAAAGAGGAAAAAATAAGCTTTTAAACGATATATATATCGTTAACAAAAAATTAAAAATTGTTTAGATATATTTATTTAAACAAAATAAAAATAAAAAAACGTGGATTACTTTTTCACACACCTAATAATTTCGTTTTTATCGAAGAGATTATTTAGACCAAAGTTTGGGAATTTCTTTTTTTCAACGCCGATTTCATTTTTTTTTTTTTTTCCTCGGTGACATTTCCCCCTTTTTCTTTTGTCATTTCTAAATTCAAATTGCTCAATGTTTATTGTTTATAAAGAACATTTACTAAAGAGTTTTCATAAATTCTATCAAATTTTCTCGAAAACGGCCTTAAAAGTTTTTGGTTTATAAATGGGAGAATATTTGTTTGTCATTCCTTGTGATCCTTCCATTGGATCGAATGAGAGTTTATATCGTTGAAGAAGATTTCCCAAAACCTGAATAAAGAAGAAAAATTATACGATAATTGATGAAAGATTTCGTTTTTATATAATTGGCTATGATTAGAATAATCAAATAAGGAATCGGATAAACAGATTGAGATTTTGACAGAAGTCAGCAGCTCTGGCTTTTGACAGAAGTCAGCTCTGGCTTTTGACAGTAGTCAGCTCTAGCTTTTGACAGTAGTCAGCAGCTCTGGCTTTTGACAGAAGTCAGCTCTGGCTTTTGACAGAAGTCAGCTCTGGCTTTTGACAGAAGACAGCTCTGGCTTTTGACAGTAGTCAGCTCTGGCTTTTGACAGTAGTCAGCAGCTCTGGCTTTTGACAGAAGTCAGCTCTGGCTTTTGACAGTAGTCAGCAGCTCTGGCTTTTGACAGTAGTCAGCTCTGGCTTTTGACAATAGTCAGCAGCTCTGGCTTTTGACAGAAGTCAGCTCTGGCTTGACCCTTTTACAGCTTTATGGCCCGAGCACTCACCAAATAGAGCTCAGCTCTCGCCAGCGATTCTCCCAAACAAGCTCTCTTTCCAATCCCAAATGGAATCGTCGATTGTTCTTGTAATTTCCCATCATTTCCCAAATAACGTTCCGGATTAAACTAAAAATTTCTATCATTTCTTTCCCTTTTTCCCCTTCTCTTATCCACCTCTTGTGGTTGATCAAAAACTCGATCATTTTGCATGATAACAGATAATTGAGCTGTTGAAAGTGTTCCCACAGGAATTTCACATCCACCAATGTGACAAGGGCCTAAAATATTCAATCTATTTGGTTTCCAGTTTTTATATTAACTCTAATATGGCACCACGATGCGAATAGAACGTTTTAATTTTATGGTAAAAGTCTCATGATGGTGGTGACCATGGTGGCTCAGAAATTTCATGTATTGAGAGTCATAAAATACTAAAACTTCATAAACCCACCATGGTCACCACCACCATCAGGCTTTAAACGTAATAAGCACAAAGGAATAAACGAGATATATCTCGTTGATATATTAGGTTGATGCAAAAGTCTTTTTCATTTTTTTCGTCTGCCGTTTCAAGCCAACAAATGCACCAATTAAACTACGGTTGATTTCATTAGAAAAAGCAATTATTTTTCTGCAAAATAACATTAAAACGGGTTTAAAAATATTGAATGCCTGGATTTTCTTGAGAGTATGAAGTCGGGTAGTCAAAAAGGGCTAACTCGATGACACCTTAGCCTTAGGTTTAGACACCTTAGCTAAAGAAAGCCTATCTTCGTGTCAATAGATAAAAGATAGAGAAAACAAAACGTTTGATATTTCGCCAAAATTTCAGAGAAATTCATTCAGCCAATTTTTCCGTAGAGTTTTTTAGAGATTTTTACGAAAAAGGCGTTTTTCACTCTCGAATTTGCTTGAAAGTGAACCGAAATTCATTTAAAAAGACGGAAATTGAACCAAAAAACACTTTTTTTATAGAGCAAACTATAGATTAATTCGTGAATTTGTTACTTTTTAACAGAAGTACGAAAAAAATGAAAAAGACTTTTGCATGAACCTAATATCTCGATTTCATGACTCTCCAATACATGAAATTTGATGACCCACCATGGTCATCACTACGAGATTTTTGGCATAAAATTAAAACTTCCTACTGACATCGTGGTGCATAATAAACCCTATTAGGATAACTAGAAATTTAAACCATACACTTTATTGGTCAGCGTTCCCTTGGAAAAACGGGGTACTTCTTTATAAAAAAAAAAAGCTAGTGAAAAATCTCTTATGTACGACAGATTATCATATAATATAGATGAATAAAGTGTTTGGCTAAAAATCTTAGTTTATATATTAACTCTAATATGGCACCACGATGCCAATGCCACGATGCCAATAGAAAGTTTTAATTTGATGATAAAAGTCTCATGGTGGTGGGTGACGGTGGTGGCTCAGAAATTTCATGTATTGAGAGTCATGAAATCAGGAAAAAAAAGTGACAAAAGATTCACTTTCACACCACAACAACCACCAGGAGCCAATTGTGAGACCCTTGAGAACCCTACCCTGTAGATCTCATTTAGTTCAACGATTATTTTTCAAATCCATTTTTTTTCCAAAAACTCCGGCTATTTAGTTGATAAACTAAAATAGAATTGAAATTTTTTTAAAGAAACCTGTCGTCACTCTCCACAAATTGACCGAAAGAATCGAACCGTATCGTTGGATTTCCTGAGTATTTTATATAATTCTTCGATCTTTATGGTTAACGGCCGGGGGTAACGATCATCGGCGTAGGGGGGGAGGCAATTTTTTGGCCAACTTGCAGCTCATTTTTAAGCACCTTAAACTTATCAGATCGGGAAGTTTTAATAAGATTTAGATAGCTTAGGACGTCAGCTTTCAGAAAGTATTTGTTTTATCAAAAGTTATGAACATAAATTTATATAAAAACGGGCTGCAAGTTGGTCAAAAATTTGGCTTCCTCCGTTAACCGTAAAGGTCCTAATTCTTATTCAAATTCACTCACATTGATCACAGCATTGAGATATGGAGTTTTTGGTCGATCCTTTAAACAAAGAACACGTCCATCACCGGTCACTTCGTTGATCTATTTGGGAAAGAAAAGAATGCGGTCAAATTCTTCAATTGGATTCTTCAATTCAAAGCAATCTACCGTATTCTCTCTTTTAGTACACCGGTTTACTATTTTCGTTTACTATTTTCGTTTTTCTTTCAAATAAACCTCATTCCGACATTTCTCCACAATTTCCGGCCTTGACAACAATTCGTGAAATGCCCATTGAAGGGTTGTTGAAGTCGTTTCTTGACCTGAACTCTGTCTTTACACACACACTTCTACACACGCCAAAGGACAGCCTCAAGATTAGATCCAATTGTAACGGTAAAAGAGAAAGATCCAATTGTAAGGGTAAAAGAGAAAGATCCAATTGTAAGGGTAAAAGAAAAAGATCCAATTGTAACGGTAAAAGAGAAACAGTAAATTTCAAGGGCATCTTTTAGAAAACGAAACATATAATCTCGAATACAAACCAGCTCCCCAAATATCGACGAGATCTCCCAACAAACCGGCATCACTGAAATGAATTCAATTCGAAAAAGAAATCATTTCCATTAAATTCACTCAAAATATCCCGGCTCTCCATTCTCTTTGATTCTTTTTCGTTGTTCAATCAAATAAGCATGAACGAAATCGCCGGCTTGTTCCCCCGAAAGTGTCACATCTTGATCGCTGAGCTGCGATCGACTGAAAAATTCAAGATCGTTTCGTTCACAAATTCAAGTTCACTTTAAAAAAAAAAAACCCCACATCTTTTGAATATTTTCCATCGAAAACGCTCTGAAAGCGTCGAGAACATTGTAGATGTGGAAATAGCGGCTAAATGGTTGAATTTTAATTGAGAGAAACGATCTTAACTCTCACTTTTTCAATATTGGCACATATCTCCACCAATCGGTCACAAAGAAATCAATTGGTGACAAATGTTTGATGAATTTTGCTACCTCATCGCGGATTTCGAAGTAACGGGATTGGTTGGACTGAATTGATTGTAAATGAGAATGCTAAAAGCTTTAAAGCTTTGCTAGAAGCTATAAACCTTGTGGAGCTTTAGCCTAGCCTCACCTTAGTTTGCATTAGCTAGTAAGACTAGTTAGTAAGAGCTAGTGCATTAGCTAGTAATACTAGTTAGTAAGAGCTAGTGCATTAGCTAGTAAGACTAGTTAGTAAAAGCTAGTGCATTAGCTAGTAAGACTAGTTAGTAAAAGCTAGTGCATTAGCTAGTAAGACTAGTTAGTAAAAGCTAGTGCATTAGCTAGTAAGACTAGTTAGTAAAAGCTAGTGCATTAGCTAGTAAGACTAGTTAGTAAAAGCTAGTGCATTAGCTAGTAATACTAGCTAGTAAGAGCTGACCGAGTACAGGAAAGGCTGGCCAGGTTTACCCATACCCATTGCCCTCAACTCGTACCTCATCAAAGCCATATCCATACAGTAAACGATTGATGATCGAAGCGATAAGAAGCTCGGTGAAATCGTCAACCTAAGAAATTTGGAATTTGGTGGACCTTGCTGGAACTAATTAAAATCAAAATCAGCTCCCATTCCTTGACTAGATCATTTTCAAATTTTCAAATCTTCCTATCATCTTTCAACACTTTGTTAGCCCTTTTGCCCAACTCATTCCTACCACAACGGTCGCTTTTCCATCAATCATTCTCTTTTCGATTTCACCAAAATGATAATCGATCTCTGAAATGTTTTTGAAATGCTCATTTCATTCGATCAAATTTCATCGCCAAACCATGATAGATCAATTGCTCTTGCAGGGCATTTCCCATTCCAAAATCGCGTAAAGTGTGCAAAATGAAACGTCTGAATAATGAATAATGGAATGGATAAACGAAATTTCTTTAATGCATTAATGCATTAACGCGTTAAGTGTTATCAAATGTTCAAATCAAGTTAAAGCCTCATTTCTCATTGTTTTCGCCCATGATTCTCAACCTGTGTTCAAGCCATTGATCTCCTTCGCTGGACACCACTCCTCTTTGATTTCCCTTTTCATCTAAACAATCCCAATTTACTTTTTCTTTCTCTTTCTTCATTTCTTATCTCTTTTTGCTGAAATCACAAAAATTTTGCTCTTTTCTGTCTTTTTGAAATTATTCCAAACTGTGAAATCTTCTTTCTAGTGTCCACTGGCCCGGTTAAGGCTTTAAACTGACCATAAGATGCGGCTCGTGTGAAGAATGGAGTATATCGTCCGATTTGAGTTGTACCCTGAATAACACTGTTAAAATTCTACTAAATCATTCACTGAAAGTATGCAATCATTTTGCGTATTGCGTTTTATAAAACGGACAAATGCGACCTTTTTTTTGCTGGAAAAGGCCTTAGGAAAGGTCGTAGAGCGTCAAAAATGTTTTCATAGAAGGGAATCGTATGCGTAGATTCCGAATTTCGACAAATCAGACCTCGCTGACACGTCAAATTTGGGCTAAAAGGCAAAAACTGCGGAAAAGCGTTAAGTTGCGTAGTTTTTGCCTTTTAGCTCAAATTTGACGTTTCAGCGAGGTCTGATTTGTCGAAATTCGGAATCTACGCATACGATTCCCTTCTATGAAAACATTTTTGACGCTCTACGACCTTTCCTAAGGCCTTTTCCAGCAAAAAAGGTCGCATTTGTCCCACCCCCAAAACGAGTACTCTTTAAAGGGGTTAAAAATGCGAGATCGTTATATACTCGCGAAAATCTGAGAAAACTCAAAATATTCAGCTAGTCAAAAGAAAATTTAATTTGGCAAAAAGGTTTGACTTTATATAAATTTTGACTCCATCACCATTCTTTTCAGATATTCAGCTAATCAACTTAATATCTTTAAAAACATGATTTGTGGCATATTTAAGTGTCTCATGGGACACAATTTTGCTCCTGAATTCGTATTTTTCTCGAAAACTGTCAAACTTTCGTGATTTTCTAATGTCATATCGTGATGAGGGGATCAAAATACGTATATCACGTATCACAGAAACCTGATTCAAGATCTCTATGCGGGATTGCTCCTTTAATCGTAATCCTGTCTCTAGCTCTTCTCAGTCTTTACACTTTTTTGATCTAATTCCGCAAGAATTCAAAGGAAAAGCTTCAAGATTCGCTAAGGCAATTTATACTATATTCACCTGATTGACCATCAATTCTTTGGCCATCTCAAACGTACACAACTGTATAGTGGGATAAGGACCGTACCAAACTGTATGCACCTAAATATATGAGCATTCTTATAGTTAGGCATAAGTATTTCTGTATTCAAAAAGATACTTTAACTCTTTGTTCGTATTTGAATAGAGTCTGTTAAAAAGTTGCTCTTTCATGCAAATTTTCTCTCAACTCACATCTCCATATATTTTTGCCATTTCCACCATTCCACCAACAAGACCACCTTTTTTGTACGAATAAAACATTAACTGGGGAAGATTTCCAAAGAAAAGAAAAGGGATTGGGCCTGTGAATTGAACATTTTTCTCTTTTCTTTAGTCACTGAAAACTTTCCACCAACCATTGGGCAATTTTCGAACTGCTTGCCATTGAATGAAAGCGTAAATGGCAATACAAATGAATATGATTAAGAGAAACATCTCGAATACACCCAATAATTCGATGGATGTCAGTTGTCAATGTTTGGGGGGAAATGGGCGAAGGTTTCTCTTTTATATTCAAAACACTCAATCACTTTTCTCGCTTTTTCTTTTCTTTTTGAGAGAGATTTTGTGATTTCTTTTTTTCTTTTCCTTATCTATTTACTTCTTTTCTTTTTTTATGTTGTCCATCTCAGAGATTAAAGGTTATCATGTTAGGGAGAATCCCTAGAGAAAAAACAACGGTCTATTGGTTGAAAGTTTCTTTTTCTCCAAAAGCTGGTCAATTGATCAAAAAATCCTTTTACTAAAACACTTTATCCAAAACAAAAACAACGTACACAAGTAACAATTTAATAAGTAACACATCTCAAAAGCTACTTTAAACGATGTAATTTACAAACATACATAGGTCCAAAATTAGATGGTAGAAAGGGTAAGACGAGAATCCCACGTTGAGTTTCATCATTGAATCTATAAAGACCTGTAGCAGCAAGATGATTTTTTAACAACGACAATGATTCTTCGACAACCTGAAATAGAAAGAATTTGCTTGATCAATCATTAAAGTGCACCTTGATGCCAAATTGTTGCTCGGCAATGGCCACAGCATTCTCGATAACCGCTTCATTTTGCGAGGGAGACAATGTGCAAGTTGAGTAAACCACTGATCCACCCACTCGAGCTGATCTCAGTGCATTTCTATAAAAACATGCTTAAATTTATCACAATTAAGTTAATACTCACATTAAGATTTTTGTTTGCAGTTGTGGAAGATCTAATCGCTTCTGCGTGTGTTGCAATTCGAAGAGATTTCCCTCATCTTGGCCCACCGATAGACGATCGCTCAAACAAGGGACATCGGCCAATACCTTAATTAGAACTATACATTGGATTTTCTTAATAACCACACTAATTATAAGTATAAACCTTATCGTATACATTGAATTCGTCCCACTGTGCCAAATTGCTTGCATCTTTTCTTTTTAAAATGATCTAAAATAAGATCTAGCTAAATTATTGTAAACCCGAACTTTTTCCGCATCAGGGCATTCAGCGGGCACATATATTGACAAGGATCTTTTCAAATCTCCGAGACGCGCCAACTTGTAGTCATTGCAGATTATTTTTTCTAAAGCAACATATAGTAAGAATTAAAAATTATACAATACTAGGAAGCTTCGTCAATAATGCGAGTAGACTTTTGCCCCCAGGTGCTGCACACATATCCATGAATGTATCTCCTTCTTCAAATCCCATTGCTAAGATTGGGACGACCGATCCACCATCGAGTAACCACCATCCTAATAAATTTTGATAAATAAAGCACTATTTATATCATTCTGAGTACTACTTAGAAAGGTAATAAATATCTACCTGGTACTTGACTTTCATCTCTCATCGGTGGCGGATATCGAGAAATGTCGCACCTCTGCATCACTTGTATTCGTAGATTTTTCGGATATGAGATGAAATGAGGCCGAGACGGTAATCTGATTCCTTCTCCCTCGTAACCGGTGATTCTAAAAAATAATCATTGGGCATAATTAATATAATAAAGCTTACTGTAGCTCTTTCTGCTCTTTCTTGAGTTTAGTGTTTCCAAAATGACGTTCTCCTTGTGAAAGTTCCCCCCTTGTCGGATTAAATTCTCCCATTCCAGCTTCTGTTCGCATCATGTCCAATTCTTCAGCCGTTTTTAACAAATTGGATGTACTGGCACCCTCAAATGAATATTGAATTAAACTACATCAAATTAACTGACCCCGTCCATTTCAGCAAATATTTTTTGCGTCTCTTCTTTCGCTAATTCATTCATCTAAACTTTACACACTTTATGAAGCCTATCTGTGTTTCAACCTTTTTCATTTTTTTTGTTGTATTCTTATCGGCGGTTCCATCTTGAACTTTCTTCAATAAATCGAAAGTTCCTTCTTCTTGTAATAACGCAACATTGGATTCCCATGAACTAAAAAGAAAAAAAATTTTAAAACTTTTTTTCTTACTTCGATAGAGTATTGATGACAGCCACATATTGATTTGGTGATAACAGCCCAAGTCGAATACTCGGCCATCGAAAAAACACAATTAATTATAGCACTGCAACATGATTTACCTTTTCCCGAAGAAAGGTTTGTAATAAAAGTCGAAATGGTCGAGGGCACACACAGAAGGAGTTCTTTCAGGACGAGTTTTTGCGATCTAGGTTGTTTTTTAAAAACACTATACGAAATATATCACCTTTGGCTTAAATTTGTTTCGTTTTCCTCGTATCGCTTGTGCAATCGGGAAACGCACACGTAGCAGCGTCTGTGCTAACATCCGCTGAAAAATACTAAATAGCTGCTTACCCAATCCTTCCCGTTTACAACTACGAACTGCAAGCAACTTTTGATTTGGTAGCTTTTGCGTAAAACAATCTCTAACTATTTGTGAAAAAACAAAGACTTTATTGTAGCACATCCTCATCCTCAAAATAATTGGTTACCCGGATAACAAAACACGTATTATATTAAAACAAAATAAAAGCACAATATATCACAAGTTCAAAGGAAAAATATTCAAAAAACAAATTCATTACAAATTTTGAAGTCGATACTTTCGCAAGTTCTTGTCTCGACATGCAGCAAAAACCTCATCGTTGTGAAAGCAGAAGTCGTAAATTGGATCACAATCGCCACCGCTCAGCTCGAACTAAAAGAATTGAGTTGTGACACTGAAAATATTTAGACTTACCTTCGGATAAGGCTTAAAATCATCGGCATCGTAAACGGCAATTGTTCCATTGTCTAAAATGACTCAAAAATTGCGAGGTAAAGGAGAAACACATACGATATGCCACAAAAATTCCTTCGGGTCGCCAAGCTACTTTTTCCACACGTCCACGTTTTGTTCGTAAGTGAAGAATTAGTTGCCTAAAGCTTCACCAGTCATGAATAATTTGATTTAAAAGATGTACCCAGAGTGTGGATCAAAAACATAAACAGCGCCGTTTTCATCTCCACAGGCTAAACGAGATCCACAAGGAGAAAAGGCGAGTGAAGATGGAGATCCGGGGACAGAAATTGAAGTTAACTGAAATGTATTTAAATATTGAAAATATTGACAAACTTAAATACCATTACATCACCGTCGATTGGGTAAATTGCAATTTTGTTGAGTGAGCAAGCGATAGCTACTTTCATTGCATCTAAACTAGCAAGTATTGTTGACAGGATAAAATGCTTTACCTGGTGATAACGCTATTGAGTTACACTCTCCGGCATCAGGACTCCAAGTTATGTCACACTCTCCACGTCCACAGTTCCATCTCTAAATGAGAACTTTTATGAGAGTTAAAATAAAATTTTAAAACTAAAAATGTAGTGTAAAGGATGTGTGATCGATGTTGAACCATCACTTCATTTAAAAGAAATGGCTTCAATATCGTCAAGATTACTATTGCCATATTTATCTCAAAATTGCCAAATAACAATCGGCAATTTTCCTTCTAATGGCGAATTCTAGTTCTTTAAATTCTTTAAGAGCAAAATAAATTACTTTTCCAGTTCCATCTCTCGAGCACGAAATGACATCTTTTCCGATTCCAATTATTTGTGCATCTGTTATTGCTAAATAAAAATAATTACTTTATGGCCACATTAATTTAAATTACCCATTCGATGTCCTTTTAATGTTCTGGCGATTTCAGCAGTTTCAATACTCCAAACTCGCAATTGCAGATCCCCTCCGCCAGCCAACACAACCAATCCTGATGGGAAGACTTTTGCCGAAGACAAGTGTAACGAATGCCCTTCTAGTTCTCGCTAAAATCTTCATAGGTTTAGTAACATATTGTAACCCTACAAGTAGACGCCCATCCGTTGTGCTAGATACGCGAAGTATTCCATTTGCATCTGAGGTGAGCATCATGCTGCCACTGGGGGTGACATCGACTGTTTGTATCGAGGCTTTATGAATGACTAAATTTATGACATATTTTGTACAAAACTCTAACTAACCCCCAAACTCGATCAGGGGTGCAACAAAGTAGGTACTCTCACCAGTGTTGAGAAAAACTTGCAAGGACCTCTGAACAAAACTTATGGCAAAATATAAAACTATACCAAACAAACCCCTTTCACATGTGCTGCAATTCGATCTGTGCGTTCAACCTCGATGCTCCCATCTTTGGGGCTAACAATCGCATCGAAAAAGGTCGTTTTTGTTTCCGATTGACGCATTCCAACGAAGAATTTGTGCGGAGGAGTGCTAAATCCGAGATTTGTACCATTTATGAACATTCAACAACCTTATACTTTGAAACCAGTCGTGTTGCACGATCACTTCTACTTCGTCTGCAACAATCGGAGCCATCTATTGAAAATTTTCTTTGCTAAAAAGGTATAATGATTCAAAGAATATCAAGTGTTTAGTTACGTCTTTATTATAGTTGGAAATGAACACAATAATTTATCTAGAATTCAAAAACGGCTAGAACAGTGCTTATCATAAATAATCACAAGACTTCAACAATCACCACAAAATCAAGTCGTTTGTAATCGAGTGTAAAAACAATGCAAACAAAAAAAGATATCACACTTTATCGGGGCTGCAAAAATAGAGACTTTTGGCCAGTGACTATGCACCAACATTCATCAAAGCGAACAAAAGAAAGTTGGCCTTTATCAAGGAGAGAATCAAAAGAACAAAAGACAATGTTACCCCAAGAAAAAAATTAGGACAAAAATACGAGATACATGTATCCGACAAAATGATTTGACAGGATGAAACCAACGCGTGAGGTTATTTGAAAGTAAACTTCGCAAAACTCTAAATCAAAGTGAGCCATATACATTTAGATATTTTACCTTATCCAACGACCACTTTTCCAGTATCTTCTTTGCCGGATCTTTTGGGCTTTCCAACAGTGAAAGGAATGTATTTGTACTTGATCATGTGCTAAAATAAAAACTTTTAGGTTGCAACAACAAAAATGTAGAAATTACTGCTTTTAACTTACCATGATCTGACGTTTCATCGTCAGGCAGAAAAGAATGATGAAATACATCACCAAAATTGGCCAGAACACTGGGACATCAAAGACCTAAATAAAGCTTACACGGATCAATTGATAATTAAAAACCTCAAAGAAAGTGCAGACGAAGCCGATGAGTGTAGATTTCATCATCGAATGCCTTTAAAATTGAAATATAGTTAACTCAAGCTAATCGACTATATAAATTAATGATCGCAAGTTTGCTCACCAAAATTTGAATTCCGGCAGCCGACGCATAAATGGCCGAAATTCATCTGACGTCCGTGATGGAAGAACGGGGCCATCATCATCTAAAAAAAAGGTTGCAAATTAAAATCACAAGACTCTACCATCGTCAAACTCTAAAGCAGGATCGATTGAAGGAGTGAGGAACAGCAAAAACATGTTCAAGTAGTAAATGAAGAGAGCATAGGTGACAATGTAGAAGCCCTAAAATATTTAGATTAAGAAGTTTTAAATACACAAGTCCAATCCTCGCTTATAATAAAAACACACTTGAATTAAGAAAATTCGTGCGCAAAAGGCCATCAAAAACAAAACGGCGACTACCCATCGTGCAGTTGTATGTGGCGTGAAGCTATCCAAGTAGTATTGATATTTCTAAAAAGCTAAGAATCATTCATACAAATAAAAGCTTACCAATTCTATCGAGGAGAAAAAGCGGGACACGAAGCCGGGTCGATCTCTAATCTCATCCTCCATGTTGTGGCTAATCACTAAACGTGCATTAATTAAGCATATCTGATAAAAGTGAAAGAGAAAACGATTTCATTAATCAAAAGCCAACTTTCAACTACTTTTTAGTCGTGTGGTTGAGAAATTGCTAGTTTCTTTCTCAGTACACGTCAACGAAAAATCGTACAAAGGCAAGGAAGGGACTACATTACTTTCTTTTCCAATTGCTAATCCGCAGAAATGGTTGATGGAAAACGTAAATTAGTTGTGAACATTCCAAGATTAAACAAAGGGCAAAAAACACAAGGACACAAACAACAACCTAGCCGAAATTTTAATCAAATAAGCGGAATAAATAGGGATAGCTTTGTAAAGCGGGGGCTCGATGGAACTTTTGCAATGTGTTTATACGATTCTACGATTCTACGAATGAGAGAAAATTAGAAGAAACTTTGAAAATGAACTAAAGAATTTTTATAGACGCTTTTTATACTACGCTTAAAATGAGACAGTATGCAAATTTTAATAAAATGATATTGCATGTAAATTTTTGCTAGATTTGCAATCAAGTCAAAGCTGTCGTAATTTCTTTTCCAAATATCGACTCTCTTTATCGCAAATAAATGTTTTGTACGTTATTTAGGAAGAGTTAGAAATTTAAATCATGCAGAGTCACTGTTTTAAAACTGAACCCATCGATTTAGGTCTATCAGTGAAAGACAGTATGGTAGAGGGTTGCAAATGCAAATGCAATGCAATGCAATCCAACTACGTGCATTGCATTTGCATTTGCATTTTTTTTTTCTCAATTTCCCAAAAGCTAACATTGGTTTGATCCCGAAGATCGAGCAGAAGTGTCGCAAAAAGAATATGCAACAAAAGTCTACACATTTTTTTTTTCTTCCGGGATATTTCCAATTCCTCTCGTTGACTTCTTCGTTGTTGTATGCATGATTGACTCGTCCGATCCTCCTCTTTTCTATTTTCATTCACACAATGCACACCAAGATCTCTTTTGTTTTTTCTCGTAAAAGTTGATGATCCCTTTTCTTCGAAACTCGACACCAACAGCTAAACTTCGAAGTTTTTTCTTATAGCATCACAGTTTTGTTTCACCTGTTCCCAAAAAAAGTGATAATTACAAAATTAAGGTTTTCAGCAAAGCCCGAAGCTTGAAGACACCAAAATTCTTCAAATTTAAGGTTATGGCCACATGTTTCTGTTTTTTTTGGAGAAAAAAAAGGAATTGCACACCTCTATCGCAAAATGTTCCTCCTTTTTTTCTTTTTTTCCTCCCCCTTGGGATGTTTTTTGGTAGCTCTCTCTTTTCCCCTTCAATTCCCCTCAAACTCTTCTTTCTTTTCTCTCCAATCATCTCTGTCCCATTCTCCTAATTTTTCACAAGAATTTTTTTTCTTGCTCTCTGACGTTAAAGCTCTAATTTTATTCGTTCGGCTTTACAAAAATAGCTTCAAAATCGTTTGAGAGACAACTTTCCATGGATATGCTTTGTTTTTTTTACAAATTACCTCAGTTTTTTTCCTCTTTCGAGACATAGTCTTCCCTTCCTAGTTTTTCTAGATCGAGAGTAGTCAACAAGCATCTCAAGCTATTCAGTGCTTCGCATTCTTTGTCATTTACTTTTCCCATGAGCTTTACAGCTTTACAGCTTTACAATGAATTATGTAATGTAAGTGTTCATTTCCAAAAGGCTTCTCTTCTCGAAATCCCTTTCATCGACTATTCTCTTTAATTTAAAGAGCTTTTTTTCCCAAAAAATCAACGTAATTTAAAATTAGTTGAACTTCAAAAGTCAACTAGATTTTTTAAAAATGTTAAAGTTTTCTTTCGTTTCCCCTTACGCTTCAATGAATTCAAGTGAAAAAGAGAGTGAATCTCAAAAATGTATACCCATCTTTTTTTTTGCCTTATCCTTTCATCTTTTCTTTTCCGATTTTAGATAAGAAGATGGGGTAGGCTAGTTTCCGCAACTTTTTTTGCGCAACAGGGTCATTTGCGCAACTGGGTCGTTTGCGCAACTCGGCATAACTTTCTTCTAAGTCGGTCAATCTTTATGATTTTTGGTTTCATTTTGTTGAACTTATTGAGATCTACAAAATGAAACTAAAAGCATAAAGATTAGCCCACTTAGAAGAAAGTTATGTCGTTTGCGCAACTCGGCATAACTTTCTTCTAAGTGGGCTAATCTTTATGCTTTTAGTTTCATTTTGTAGATCTCAATAAGTTCAACAAAATGAAACTAAAAGCATAAAGATTAGCCCACTTAGAAGAAAGTTATGCCGAGTTGCGCAAATGGCCCAGTTGCGCAAATGACCCTGTTGCGCAAAAAAAGTTGCGGAAACTAGTCTACCCCAAGAAGATTAAACATTTCAGGTAAAAATGTTGTTACTTCTTTTACTATTCCTTTTGTTTGGGTATTCAACTTCTTTTACAGCCGATGATCAGGTGAGAGAAGAGAATTTTGAAGAATTTGAATAAAACAAAAATTAGGAGGTTAAGATGATGAAAATCTTTGGATCAGGAGCACAATTAGCGGGTGGAGGAAAGAATCAATTTGAAGTGGTTGATCGAGAGAGTGTTTATCAACAAGGGTACTAGAAATAGAAGGTAATATGGAAGTTTGCAACTTTTAGCCAACAAGGACAATTCCTTCAATTTCTTCGTCGAATCGCCTATGATCGAGGACAACATCCCGAGAATCCGAATGGCGGTTTGTTATTGGTTTATTACAACTAAAGTACCATTCAATTTTGCAGAAGCTGTCACGGTAAACATCTCGGTTCTGATCTCGAATATTCGCTCAGTAAGTGAGATCAATATGGACTATTCCTTGGAAATATTCTTCCGTGAATCATGGAAAGATCCTCGTTTACAATTTGGAGTCGACGATTTCAACAAGGTTTGAGCAAACCAAAAGAAAGTCCCAACAAAGAAATCCCAAATGAAACTTTTCATGAAAACTTATTGCGAAAATTTCCAAAGTACAGCTTAAAAATGTGAGTTTTCTCTGGCATGTGCTGCTTGGAGCATTTGAAAGCTTTTTTTTTTTGCTTTTTTCTCTTTCCTATTTCTCCTCACTATCGCCTAAGTTCTTTGTGCTGTTTTTTTTCAAGAGCTTGGTTTATTTAAAAACTCACCAACTAAACATATCAATAATAAAATAATAGAAAGGCTGGTAATATCTGTAATTTGTCTGTTAACATCTGTTATAAAATCTGTAAACATCTGTTATAAACATCTGTTATAACCATCCGTCATAAACGCACTCTTTCTGGCGTAGCCACTCTTTGAGAAACCAGACACTAAAGAGTTTGCGTTTATTCAAGAACAAAGTTTTTCCAGACTACAGTAATATTTATTGTTAATCTGGGAAAATTTGGTTTGACTTTGGACTTTGGAAAACTTTGATAACTACAGTAACCAACAGAAATCAACGAATCAACGCTTCACTTTGCTTGCATGAATACGCTAGCACTTCAAGAATCACCACAAATCACAATGAACCCAATTTTCAGGGCTTCAATAAAGCAAAAAGTGGCTCTCAGACGATGATCTCACTGCACGAATCATACGCGGATTTTCTCTGGAGACCAGATACTTTCGTGCCAAATGCGATCAATTCAAAAACCCCACGAGATGACTCATTCACACATCGATCACTCTACAGGTTATTCGAAAAAGAGAAATAGATCATTAGAATTTAAGGCTGAAAGATGACGGAACAGTGATCACAAGTCGGCGAATCTCATTGGTAGCTGAGTGTAGCCTCGATTTGACAAGGTATTTCCGATAAGAAATCTCTTAAAACTCTATTTCTAGATATCCATTCGATAAACAACTCTGTAAACTCGGACTTGAAAGTTGTAAGTGTTTTCTTCGGAAAACTTCTCCATTAATTAACATATTCAGATGGATACACGGCTGATCAGATCACCTATAGTTGGGCGGTTGACAAGAATCCCCTTGAGATGTATCCGATTCGTTTGCCGGATTTCGAAATCGAAAAGGCCTATGCAACAAAACGAGTTGTCGACTATTCCACAGGTTTTTTTTTAAAGGCATCAAAAAAGAAAAACCAAAAGAACGAATTACAGGAAGTTACACCCGTTTATATGCTTGTTTTGTATTTTCTCGATCAGCCGGCTATTGCTATCTCCAATTGATCGTCCCATCGGTGGCCATTGTTGTGACAGCGTGGTTGAGTCTTTGGAGGGAAAGTGAATCGTCGTTTGAGGTGAAACAAAATGAAATCATTTACCCGAATTTGAATTACCTAAACTATCGTAAACTTGGTCAATTTCTCTATTTTTGTGTCCTTTGTAAATCCATAGAATCAGAGGAACAGTGTAAATTGATTGAACAAAAGCGGTTAGAATAGTTTTCCCAAAAAGTGACACGCTTTAGAAGCCACTCAAAATTAACTCAAAATTAGCCTCAATTCAGGATATGATCACGATCTTGATGTCAATCATTTTCTTGCTTTATTCTTACAACAGTGTCATGCCTCGTGTCAGCTACATCAAAGCCATGGATATTTATTTGGGTAAAATGAAAACAATCAAAAAATAAATTTCAATCCAAATTTCACTTCTTTAGGCGTTTGTTTCTCGATTGCTTTCCTTTCGCTCATCAAATTATCAATTATGACATTCATGAGATTACAAATCTTAGGGTTTGTCTAAAGATTACGGTGTCTAAAGATTACGGTATCGGGTAAAGTTAGTGACAATTAGAAATCAGATCATTTTCGATTTTTCACTAACTCTATCAATATCAAATCGATTCTACCATAACACCCATTTCTAAATTCATTCTATAGCCCGGTGACGCTAGATGAAATGTAAGTTATCCATCCTTCCATGAATAACTCCCAAATTGCGGTTTTCAAATTTTTATTTCCTCCTAGTGGTGGTTGTCGAGATTTTCAATTTTCATTGATTTCATAAAAACGATCAAATCAATAAAACATTGAAATCAATCGAAATTTCAGGGCTCAATCAAGTTCCGGAGATTACATACAAGTGCATAAAGATGCGAATGGACAAGATGAAGTGCCAATAAGAAAAAAATGGATTTTCTCGGAAAAGTGCATGCATATATTTCATGTTCTCACCCAGGTCAGCTATCCATAAGAACAACAGCTAACAGCGAACAATAGCAGTTAACAGCAACATTTCAGGTGCTTCTCTTCATGTTCTTTACTGGCTTCTGTACTTTCTTCTTTTTAATTTATCCTCGATTACCGTATCATATAACAGATCCTGATTGCGATCCACAAATCGCTGTCGCAAATGCCGTAAAGATCTAATCGCTTAAAAATGTCTTCCAATCATCGATGAGCTTATTTTGCCATTCTTTTCTCCATTTTTTAATTTTCTTTTATTTCTGTAGGACTATTTATTTATTCTTAACATGTCCGGGTCTTTCTAGTCATTCTTTCTCATAAATTTATTCAATGTATTTATAAAGTACGACACAACAAAAACACACGACTAAATGACTAAGCCCGTAAATGTTAAACAACTCATATACAATAATAAAAAAACAGCAAACTTTTTATGTACATCAATCGTATTCATTCATCCAGAGAGACTTTGCTAATCAATTTGTCCAATTCGATCTTCAATTCTTCCCCAGAAATCACCGGTTTTAAACAAGAAGTACTAAAAAATATTTTATGAAATGGCAAAGATAACAAACGAACCCTTTACATATATGAACAGCCGGCTTGTCATAGGATTTCTTGTAGTCCGAATAACGAGGGCAAACAGTTTCAAGCCATGTATCTAAAGAAGTATTCAGATAAATTAAAAATTAACTCGAATATTACCTTTTTCTTTTGGATCTAAATGAACAACAGATTGATTAATGATATGAATTCCGTGAATGTAATCGATGAACGTTTTTGTCCGTGGATCATCAATAGGACCGACTATCACAATCTGAAAATGAATACAATCTATCGACCGTTCATTTAAATTCTTACTTTCACACTTTCTTGATTCGATAGACGTTGATAAGCAGCAATGCTTTTTGAGAGAGAAAACGAGTACCTAAATCATAAAAGTTATGAATTAGAAAAAGGACAAACTTCTTCAATCTGGTAGCAAATCGTTCAACAATCTTCTCGGCCTGGGTTTTATACTTGGAGTCTTCGGTGAGTTCATAGAGTCTTGTCAAATTGCATAGGGAAACCGAACTGCCGCAAGGTTCAGCTCCATCGTTATCTATAGTTTAAATAATTTGAAATTTATATTGAAAGTGTAAAAAATAGATGTAAAAAAAAGCTTGTCGCGATTCTTTTCTTAAATAACCTCAACAACCTTCAATCACTCGCATTGCCGGCCCATCTTTCGATGCGCTTGAACCAACAAAATATCCGCCATTTTCCATATCCCAATACTGATCATCCAACCGTTTCTAAAAATTATATTAACTTGAATGATCACAAAATGACTTACTTGCAAATCAACAGCCCATTGTAAATGTTTTGGCTCAAGTGTCACAGCATAAAGGTCGAGTAAACCTTGAATCAGAAAAGCATAATCATCAGAGAAAGCGAGGCTTGGAATAGCCCTAAATAAGTTTTTTGTACCACAATAGCTTTCAGCACTCACAATTGTTCAATTTGTGAATTTTCTCCAGTGTAGACGGCTCTTCGAAGATCGCCCTTTTCATCCACGAGATTCTTCTTAATGAAGTCGATATTTTTGATGGCTTTTTCCAGAATCGTCTCATCTTTCATTGCGATGTAGGCTTTACTCAACCCGCTACAAATGTCAATTGTAGATTTTTATGTCAAAGCGTAATTAATTTCCAACCTTATCATTAGTCCTTGCCAACAAGTGACAATCTTAGAGTCCAAATGTGGCTTCGGTCTGAGACTTCGCCGTGATGAGAGAAAGGCCTAAATAAAATGTTTACACTTAAATAACAATAAAAAAACTAACCTTAGCCTCAGAAATAGCTGCTTTCAGTTCACCATCGTTGAGTCCAAATGCTTCGGCAACTTGAGCATCGGTTTGACGGCAAATTAGCACATTTTGCCCAGTCAATTCTCCGTGGGGATCCTAAAGAGCTGATAAGCTCGTACAGCCAAGAGCAAGATTTTTTCAAAATTACCGAATCCGTCGATACATTCCCATTTTCCTCCACTCCGTAGTACATTCGAATCACATCTGCAAGTGAGTGTTCTCCGGCTTTCCAATTTTTCAGCACTTCTTCAATTTCGGTTAGTGTCCACACACAAAAAGCACCTAAAACTATAAAATATAAAATACTTTTATTCTTTTCACCTTCTTTTTTATGAGTCGCTCCTTCAGTCGGATAAGAATCCGCGTCTTCAGCACTGTAGAAGCCGCCGGTCTAAAGTTTTAAACTCTTTAAGTACAAAAGAAAGTACACTAACCTCATGTGTCAGATTTGTTTCGACGTATTCAATAATATCCTTTACAACATGCCCACATCGACCTGTCAATTGGTGCCATTCCGAATATGTTGCCAAAAGTTGACCCTAAATCTAACAATAAAAAAACCATAAATTTGTAAAACCTGATCATACAACATTTTCTCAAAATGTGGCACATGCCACTCTGCATCCACCGAATAACGGTGAAAACCCTAAATAAAATTTGCAAATTAATGTTGATCCAAGTTTCACTAACTTTTCCAATGTGGTCATGAATTCCTCCACGGTCCATTGCTGTTAACGTTTTATCGACCATTTCGCTTGCTTTATTGTAATTGTCCTCGTTTCGATATTTTGCAGCAAGGTAAATAAGAAAGTCGATGTCAACTGAATTAGTTTGTTAGTATGAAAAAATATTAAAACATTATTACCAGGTTTTGGAAATTTTGGAGCCCCACCGAAACCGCCTCGCTTTTTATCGAATCGTTTTAACAAATATTGATACGTCGATTCGATCATCTAAACTTGCCCACCGTTTTACAAAAAGAAAATAATTTTGACCTCATTGGGCATTGGCGTCTCGCTAGATTTTTTCACTTCCAGCAGCGATTTTGATAACTCCCGAACAATTTGTTCTCCTTGAGCAGTGATACTTTCTTTGTCATCCATCCACTAAATAAAGCAATAGATTTCCAATAAAATAGATAAGAACCGCTTTCGTGATTGTCATCAACAAATCGGAAAATCCGGGTCGAAAAGGAGAGCCGCTCGGTGGGAAGTATGTTCCGCCGACAAATGGAGCGAGCGATGGAGTCAGGAAGACAGACATCGGCCATCCACCGCCACCTGTTGTAGCCTAAATATCTTTTTAAAGTTTATAAGCAATTTATAGCAAGTTTATAAGGGTTAAATAAACAAACCTGAATAAAGTTCATGTACATCTTGTCGACATCGGGTCGTTCCTCACGATCCACCTAAACACGACAAATCCTTTGCTTTAACACACAAGTACAAACCTTGATTGATACAAAATGCTCGTTAAGGAACTTGGCGATGTGTACGTTCTCGAAAGATTCTTTTTCCATTACATGACACCAATGACAAGTTGAATATCCAACTAAAAAGTTAACTTTGATTGTTTCGATAATTCAAAAACCCGTACCTGAAAGAAAAATTGGCACATTTCGTTCTCGAGCCGCTTCAAACGCTTCTTGACCCCAGGGATACCTAAATAAAATCAGTAGAAAAAAAGAAATAATAAAAATATATTTCTTTAAAACAATTTCTTTAAAAACCCACCAATCAATGGGGTTGTTCTTGTGCTGCAATAAATACGGGGATTTCTCGTTGGCAAGACGATTTGTGTGCGTCATTCTCACGATTTGTCTAAAACAGAGAAATTAGTTTGATTTTGCTAGAAAAGCCTCAAACCTCAATAAACTTACAACAGCTATGCGTGGGCTGGTCGGCCAAACGAGCATCGGAGATCAATTGAAACGATTCAACCGATCCTGTTAACGAGTAGACACTTCGAAAGAGGAGAATTTCTGGAATTTATTGATGTCAATAATGTGTTTGAAAAAAGTAAAAGCATAAAAAAAGGAAATAGAAAAGCCAAGTCAATAGAAGTCAAAAGTTTTAATAGAACAAGTTTCGTTGCATGTGAATATTGCGAAAATAGATTAGAATGCAAATGTAAAATTTAAATTGGGATAGGAGAATCAGTTTGAAAATCCTAGAGTAACAGTAAAATGCGAGAGTTTTGAAAAAAAACAAGGAGCACGAAAAGTTGAATCACAGTTATTTTGAGAAAGATCACATTCTGATTAAAATGAACACATTCAGGGAATTGAGCAATTTTACAAAAACGGAAAAGATTTCACGAAAGGCACCTACAATTTTTCATCCGCAAAACATTTTTTAATGAAAGATATTTGATTGGAATTGTGCTTTGGCTGGGGATATGTATTACTTAGTACTTAAAGTTTCTATAATTCTCTATGAATTTGCCGGGCAAAGTGTATCAAGAACGGATTGTAGAGGAACCATTTTCGCACGGGGAATCAATTTGAATTCCCTTGCAAACAGGATAAAATGTTTGAGCGATGTGTTGATGTGAGCCATTGCATTCAATTTGATGATACTAAAATATAATGGTGTTTTATTGCAAGTTGGATTCTGTGGCCTGACCATGACCGGCTGGCTAAGAGCCCTGTATCATAGTCGACGGGTCAAGGGTTCAATCCCGCCGGCTAGATCAGTGGTTCATATATAAGTGTTTCTTCTCTACATTTAGAGCTTACTAGGGATGCTTTTCGATTTACACCTGGCTCTTTGACCGTAGACATAGTTTTTCTGATGTAGTTTTTTGCGCTGATTCCGAATATCTAGGCCGTTTGGGGATGACGTGTTGAAATTCGCAAGATATTCAACTCCAAAGTCTACACAGAATTTTTGAGAATGGCATTTTGCGACCATGGATAGCCCAATTGCTTTTGCGCAACTGTGGGAATTTGAGTTCATGGCCTACCGGTTAGTGTACTTGCCTTTGGTTCGGCCTGCTTGCCCTCGGTCTAACGGGTTCGGAACCGCTTGCGGAAGTTTTTTGTGCTTTTTGTGTTTAATAATTCAGAAACCCTAACTAAACAATTTTAGGGTATATTGAGTGGGTATTTTTTATGAAACTCACTCATTTGAATGTGCATGATAGACATGAGCGTATACTCGAAAGAGACGACTCATGATACCCTCACAAATCGAGAGGAAATCCGGTGGAAAAGATTTGCCCAATTGTGATGGAAACACATTTTCATCGTCCAATTGATCGTGAATACCCGTTAGCAAATAAGAAATGTATTCAGGAGCCGATGTAGACAGAGTTTGCTAGAAACAATTTTTTTTGATTTCTTTTAACTCAAACAGATTTGTTTACTTTATTGCTATCTTGCCAAAGATATTCATGTCCAGCTGCAGCTGTCATCTTTGGACATTTCTCAGGAGTACAGGCTTGATCGAGTGTTCCAACTAACATACACACTTGATTGTACATATCAGATAGATTCATCGCTAACCATTCATTTTGATCTTCACCCTGTAACTGGATTGTTTGACGAAAGTTTGAAATTCTACAGATTACTCAAGATTTTTGAGTTGTAGTTGTTCACTGAATATCTTGAAGTGCTCAAGTTTTTGCTTAGAAATCTTTCCACTGATCATTTCACTCACAAAGGGCAATCGAACCGCATCACGGAGATTTCCCGATCCAAGCGTGACACAAGAGGCTTCATTTCGTGAATTCATCATTTAAATCAAAAGCAGAATGCACTCTTTGAGTTGAATTTCTTGAAATAGTTGAGTGGTAAACAATTTTTCTGAACGATGTTTGTTTTTGCATGGTGTTGGAAAGTAAAAAGGAGTCTAACGGACTCACGCACTCTTACGGTTCACGGCTGAGAGAGGTAAACAACTTGGAAAAATTGAACGAATTGACAAAAGTTGCTGTAAAAAAATGGAAAATCCAATTCTGAGATTTAGGAAATGTGAAAACAAAGAAAATATCGACTTATGGATATTTTGAAATAAAAATATTTCAAATAATCCAACACACAGTGGAGCTACAATTCTAGAATCTAGACCATAGAATCTAGGCCATAGAATTTAGAATCTAGAATATAGAATCTAGAATTGTAGCACCTCTAGAATCTAGATTTTGATCTATTCAGATTTCTTTATTAGATCTACTGCTTGATACTTTGAATTAAGTACTTATTATTTTTATCGTCTCTCCGTTTATTCGTCTCTCAGTACAAGTACATTATGCTCTCTATTTGGGATTTTCAATTCATTTCAATTCATTTCAATTCATTTCAATTCATTTCAATTCATTTCAATTCATTTCAATTCATTTCAATTCATTTCAATTCATTTCAATTCATTTCAATTCATTTCAATTCATTTCAATTCATTTCAATTCATTTCAATTCATTTCAATTCATTTCAATTCATTTCAACTTCTAAAAGCTCTGAGTTTATTCCAGAAATTTCCTTAAAACCTTTCTCCCCAAAAACACGTGTGGAATGGAGAGATTTCTCGACAGAAATCCACAATCCCGGAAATGGAAATGGACACTCAATTGAGGGATTGTCAAGGGATCATTCAGCAAAAAAAAGAAAAGAATTAATTCTTCTCATCCTCTTTCCAATCCTTTTCCCGATTCTCACAAAATGAATCACAAATTTCTCTATTTGATCGTCGTCCAAATCTCTGAACACATCCAATTTCGAATTCATTTCAAACGCAAACAAAGACTTAACGCGGTTTTGTGAGTATTTTGGGGGGAAACACTGTAATTGGATTGGTCAATGATTTTAAAGAAATGCTAAAATCGCAAAATAGAAGCAGTCAAAACAGTCAAAGTACGGGGTTAAACCTCTCAAACTTTCCCCTGCCCGTCCCCTTTCAAACTTTCCCCTGCCCGTCCCCCTTCACTCCAAAATGCATTAGTCGTCGTGTATGTGCATTGATTCTCATTCAAAATTATTGTCTTTTCCCCCTTTTTTTTTCACTTTCAAGCACATGTCCCCAGTTGTTGTTATGTCTTCGAATCTCTTTTCTCCCCCTCTTCGAATCTCTTTTTCTTCATCTTCATTTTCTTCTAATTGACTTATAGATAATAAAATTTAATTGCTATAGAGCTAAAGGAGAAAAATGAGTTGAAAATATTGTTCTTAGAAAATATTCTCAAAGAAAAAGATCATTTCCTCAAATTTATTTGTACTTTGACTACAAATTTGGATATTTTTTCCCCCGAAAAAGTTCAGATAATCAACTTTAATTCCCCGCAAAAACTGGTAAATTTCATTTTATGCAAAGCTTGATAAAGACAATGTCAAATAGAAATCACCGTACCCTTCTCCGCCAAACAAGCATTACTCATTGTTTTCAAAAACACTCTACAGTACAAGTACATTATGCTTTCTATTTGGGATTTCAATTCTAATCGAACAAATCTAAAAGCTCATCCAACCATGAACACAAAAGAACCGGTTTTTGTTAGAAATCCTCGTAAATCATAGCTTAAATTTGTTTCCACAATTTTACGCGAAATGATTAGCTATTATGCTTCAAAAACAACGACAACGACAATGCATTTATCGTAGATCTCCGTTGAGGTCCTTTATAAAGGGCTTTATTTGGGATAAAAGTCCATTTGGGGGTCCAATTCCCCCTGTCAAGATCTCACTCCCAGATAACTCCTTTCTCGTAGATTTATGAGAATCCCCTCTATTCCTCTTTTTTTTTTTTTCATTGTTTTTTCCTGAATTCATTTGCAAACTTTAACAAAAACTTGCCCCTTTTTCGTTGTTTCATTTCGTTTTCGTCGAAAAATTTCTATCCAAAATTTTTGCTAATACCCGAAATTTTCGATAAGACAATTGAAAAACGTGAATAAATATTCAAAAATTTCGTTCTGCTGAAGTGATTCGATAAATCATCCGATTTGCTTACATCAAACATTTTAACGTAGAAAATTTGAAAAGTGAGCTTGGCAAAATGGTAGATCGGTAGATTATTTTTGTATTTGTAGATAGACGTAGCCGATTTTGAATGAGCGAGTCCGGTCGCGTCAAACCATCAAGTATTTGGTATCATTCAACTCAGAATCATTAATAATTATGTTAAATTTTTAAAATCAGAAAGATTGGATAAAAAGAAAAAAAAATATGGGGCTTCAAAGTTTCCTCTTGAACAAACAGCTCTAAATCCTTCTCCTTTTATCCAATCTTTCTAATTTTAAAAATTTAACATAATTATCAATGATTCTGCGTTGAATGATACTAAATACTTGATAATTGGACGCTCCTAGGCCCACTCGTTCATAATCGGCTACGGGGGTCCCGCCGATTTTGAACGAAACGTTGTAGCGCCGGCAATTTTTAACCTAAACTCACAAATTTGGTACCAATCGACGCAGAATTGAATTCGCTACAAGATGATATAATATTGTCCTCATACATTAAAGGCTTGCTCTACTAGAAAGATTTGCCAAAAAAATTTCATTCATAATCGGCTACGACATATAGACGTAGACAGTACTACAGTATTTTTTTTTTAAAAATTCGGAACATTTATCCATTGCTCGATAAATTCGATAAATCACTCGAGCAGAATTCGATAAATCACTTCACATTTCGCATCACCAAACGGAATGCGTGCTTTTTTTAGCAATTTTTTTAGCAATTATGGAACTTGCTCCCAAACGACATACGAGAAATTCTTTTCCACCCTAAGGCGCATCCGGAATTTCAAAGTCTCTTGAAAATTGTGGAAAGTCCTAGAAGAACCCGTAGTCATCCTTATCAAATTTCGCTCGGTTCTCATCCCCACCACCTTTCCCTTTATCATTCTTTCGCGAACCGTATTAGTAGGGTTTGGAATAAGCTCCCGCCTGGTATCTTCTCGTCTGTAGGAAAATTCAAAGTATCTGTAAACGAATTAGATCTAATTGCCATGTCAAATCTGCCTTATATTTAATCTTTTTGTACCTGTTTTTCCTGACTATCGTCTTACTGTATCTCTAGGTTTCTTTCTTTTTTGTGAAAGTATTGTAGCAATTATATGCGGTTATGATTATCTGATTCGCTTCTATTCGCCCTCCTGAATAAAGCATATATATATTATATTAAATTCAGTCGCTTTTCATATTCAAGAAACGTATCGATGCTTTAGATCTAGTGGCTCTTTGCCGTAAGTAATTGGCTTATTGATTTCAGTATGTATTGTATGATTAAGTATCACTGTGCATTTCTCTATCATTTCTTTCACTTTATCGTTTGAATAAAGTATTATTATGCGTAAATGTTGGCGTCTTTTAAAAAGTATTGTAGTACTGTCTACGTCTATATACAAATCCAAAAATAGTCTACCGATTCATTTTTCCAATCTCATTTTCAAATTTTCTACGTCAAAATGTTTGATGTAAGCAAATCGGATGATGATTTAAAAATAAAGTTATCTGTTTTGCGAAAAAAAAAACGATGAAAAGTAAATGAAATTGATGACTTTTTTTAATGGATAATCTCAATATCCAATCAAATATTTTGAGAATTTCTCTAAACAATTGTCATCAAAGGGAAATCAAAGGGGAAATTGATATAAAACAAAGCTCTGGCGCACTCAGCACTCCATTTTCAATTCAATTGAAAATGAGAAATCTAGTGATCCAGAAAGGATCCATTTCCACTTTCTTTTTGCGCACAAAGGTACATTTTTTGCTAAATCCCACACTAAATCTTGTTTCGTCAAATATCAGAAACTTTTCTGAAGTGACTTATGAATTGAAGAATTGAAAACGTTTTTCAAATCTTTCTTTTCCCCCATTTTGTTCACATTCTGCACCCATTTCTTCACTTTTTCCTTTCCCGTAAATCTTGTTATTCAAATTCTTGACCTTTTTTTTGAAAAGAGACTTCTTTTTTTTCTTTTCTTTTTCATGATAAGGAACTCCTGTTCTTTTCCTTTAACTTTCAATTGTTTTGCCTTTTCTCATCAACATTCTTTCGGTATTTTATCGGTTCTATCTAGTGTTTTCTCTTAAATTGATGACTTTTTAGCTTTCCTGGCTTTTTCATGAACTAGTATACCAAATCTACTATTATACTACACAAGCTTAAAAGCTCAACAATTGCGCAATTGTTGAGCTTTTAAGCTTTTTTTATATAATAAATATTATACATCAAAATATTTCCATATTTCTCGTATAATTTCTATTTTAAAGTCGTCTAAAATACCGTATTTTGCTATTTGCATATTTGCTTTTTTAAAAAGTTTTTAAGCAAGTTGCTTTTTTAAAATGTTTTTAAGCAAGTTGCTTTTTTAAAATGTTTTTAAGCAAGTTGCTTTTTCAACAAGTTGATTTTCACAGTCAACTTTCCCATCAAAGTCATCACCGATTCCCTTTCTCCAAATTTTCCTGTGAAATTTTCGTGTTTTTTCTTTGAGAATTTCACTAATTCTCAAAATTTCAAATCACTTAAAAACCCCAAATTAAATACCCAATTTTAAAAACTCAAAACTTTCATCATTCAAAAGAAAACCATCAATCGTTTTTTTTCTAGAACATTGTGCCAAACGGGGGCAAAATGATATGGTGGATTAGGGGAATTTGTCAAGCCATTGTTGCAAATCTGTTTTATTAGATCGAGAAAATCGAGGATTTTTACTTTTCTACACATTCACGACAATATGGCCCACCGGTATACGCAAATTTGGTACCTCATGTACTTTTTTTTTTACGGCT